CACAGAAATCCTCTTGGTATGCAATTCCACTCAAACACCGTAAGCTTAAAATGAAAACAGCTAATACTTGGATTTGGCATAGCTCGAAATGCATACTGGCGGCAAACGCCAAGTAACAGAAAGGCCCTTTACATCTAATGAATCTTTTTAAATATTCACCTATTCCATTACTCCTGGGCCCGCGTGCTAAACTAATAAACAACAAATTGAAACATAAAACCTGATTGAAGCCTGCAATTCCACTTAATTGAAAACACCATGTAACTCAGTCAATTAATTTGCGTTGATTCATTTAGTGGAGCCACCACAATGACAAACCAATTTTACTATAAAATGATGAAAAATTATCGTGAAGAATTTCTTAGTCATTCAAACCTTATTTTGACAAAGTGGCTAAAACGATTTTAGGAATATGCGTTGGGACAAAAAACCTAACGTAGGTATATTTATTGACATTACTTTTATGCACAAAAATGTATAGTTCCCAAGTATTTAATGATCCATATCCTTTGTAGGCATCTAAAGAAAAATATGGTTGACATGAGTACCATTTAGACTTAAAAATGTTAAATGTCAAATTTCCTTACGTTCACATCTTCCACTCATTACTAAAATAATTCGTGATCAGACTTCAATAATAAGGTTTTAAACGCCATAAGCCTGAATAGCTTTAAATGGCGCAGCCACAAAACGAATCATTTCTAAGAAGTTGTTCGCATTTTTGGAGTAAAATAATCCAGACAGACCAAATTCCTTTATAAAGTCGCATTTATCGGCCTTTAAAATGTTAATAAATGCTTCCACTCAGTAAAAATATAATTTTACGAAGAAATCAAGTTTGCATCGAATGGTGCAGCGATTATGCCAGCCAATATGCATGGATTCCACTTTGATTGAATTGACGGATTTAAGTCCGATTAGCAAAACCGCTTCTACGAAAGTACTTTTACTTGAGTATAGGAAGGGTACGTTTCATTCCTCCCTGACAACCCCATGCCCAACAACCTCAATCATTCTGTTCCGTTAGAATTTTTCCGTAAACACGCGCATTCGATTTTATGATCTGATTAATTAACTAAGAGTTCATTTAGGAGGCTACTTGCGGGAAAGTCCTTCCACAAAGGCAAGCTCTGCAAGTGATTCATAAGGTGCATTTGTAAAAACTTTGTTAATAGGACATGCAAATTACTACTAATCACTGTAGCACTGTCCAACACAGCATATTTTTTAAAACTGTCAAAAAAATAGGTTCAAAGGTTTAGTCACTAGAGAAATGATAACATCTAGAGGTCAAATATAGGGAAGTCCGCTATTTCACTGCGAAAATCTTAGTTTGATGCAATCTAAATGATAGCATCATGTACGTCCTAACACAAAGAATAGGCAACTGAGACACCGTGCACATAATCTTTGAGGTAAACCAAACCTCACATATATGGTTATTGTATTTATGAGCTAGTAAAGACTCATTAAAGAATGCTTTCCGCACTCTACATGCAGCATTTGTAAGCAATGCCTTGAAACAATTCCACCGGTGCATGGAGTTTGTGACCAATTAATTCAGTCTTCTTATTAAAACGTAGTGAATTGTGTACATGATAAATGACTGTTTACATTTCCAGTCACTGGGATGTCATTCTCGAGTATTTACATTGGTGTTTGTCATTAGCTAACAAGCATTCAGCAATAGATTTGTTTATTCTGATTCGTGCAATGTTCATATCATTACCAATGCTAGTCCAAGGATGGTTCGAATCTCCACACTTTTCCTTATCGGCAATAGCAACTCAGAATATGCATTGCTGCATGCACCTTGAGAACTCTTATTTCTACGAAAAGTAGGACGCATTCATAACATGGAGTACGAGCGATTCTGTATCAAGTTTTGTTAATGAAGTATACGATTTTAATGGATCTAGTGATTAAAATTGTGAAGATTTTTGTCATCCATTTAGGTCTTCTTGAATGGGCGACTATTTTTTAACGAAAAAATAAGAACGAATTTTTGCAGTATTTTTTAATTGATTGCAAGAGTTGGTTCTGTAGTTACCCAATTTCAAATCACATTACGCTTATTTTTACCTCTTCTGCCACATTTCCTTTAAACACGAGGCGTGCTCTTTTAATTGCGTTATGAATCATTCCACTAAGGTGAGCAAAGTAGGACTTTGTAGAATATTTTGAATAAAGAGACTTTAAAAATGAGGTGACATTTCTATGCACTTCATATGTAATACATACAAAACACAAAATACTTGCACCTTTTCCGTAAAGTGGTTAACTAGCTATGTGAAAATAGCTAAATTTTGCAGTGCTCTTTTGTCAATATTAGGAAAGGCGTACCGCGTCATTGTGCATTTGGGAATTGCGAAGCTGCATTTTTGCCGGATTAAATCAGTCGAAATTGGTTGAGAGGCTTACGTTTCCTTTGCAGTTGCGTCGATAAATACAAGTTTCAAGCCGGAACCAGGAGAAATCATTGACAGGGTATCGCGGTTGACCAATTAGAATTAACCACAGTAGCTATTGGAATGCGTGAAGAGTCCTTGAAAATCAAATGATTTCTTAATCTGTAAAAGGTAAAGGAAATTGACTGTAGCCAAATAAGCCTACATTGCTGAATAAAACATCTACACCTTTAAAACGTTTATAAGGATACTTGTGTATAGTTACAAACGACCGAGCTTTTAGTCTTTTACGTAACATTCTATGCTTAGGAATCGCCTGCCAAAACTAATTGACTCTAAAGGAAGTTATTGCATTTGTATGCGGTAAGCGCGTTAAAATTCAAAATTAATGAAGTAATTTTGTCATGCTTTGACATTGAAATTCCTACTACAGTCCATCGACCTTAGTGGGTGATATCGTCATTCTTTGAGATAGGCCAGTATATTTACCAGACGTTTGTACGACCTCCCATAAAGACAACGGAATTACCGTTGCGATGATCGTGGATCACGATATGGAATTCTGGAGCTCTGAACACCGAACTCTACATTCATTCAAGCGCATTTACAACTAACCGATTCATTACTTGGGTCATGTAGATAAATACGACATTATTATGAGAATTTGTTGAAGCACAGACACAGACTTGTAGTCGTCTCTTCCAATAAACAATACCCACCTAAGAAAGTATCGCTTCGAATGAAACAATAGCTGGTTTGAAGACTCAAGCAAATAGGGTTTTGAGAAAAAGGCACATTAATTTGCAAGATGCGCAGGCAGAGTTTTACCCACTTGTGAAAATGCTACAATGGAAGCAAAAAAATGCTGAGGAAAAGTCGCAAAATAAGGTCACTTTATTTTGTTTTCTTGCGCTGACTTTGTTCAGTCACTTAATCGTTAATAGCCAGGGCAGAATCAAAATTATTCCTAAGTAAATGTGAAAAGAAAAGCCCTTTTATATGGAAGGCAATGTAGCTACTTTTAGATTACTAATTCAGGTTTATTTATCGTAGATGAGCAACATGTCCTAAGGGAAAATATTTGGAATGCAAATATTTACTTATATTATTCCAAGGTACTCATTATTTTAGGAACGCCGACGCTTGCTTTGGCCACCAAGATCGTCAACGTTCCCAAAATGATTCTGAAACCGCCTCTGTTGGCTTCTGCATCCGGCACAGTGCGAATTGGTAGAAATCAAGCATCAGCTCTTGCAATAACGAGGCTAGCGTCTGTTTATCCTCCCTTATCTGAACTGAGTGGTGCCTACTATACGGTAGGAAATATTCATGAAGGAGAAGTGAAATCTCAGATTCATCAACAGAAAGGCATGGCATCTTCGGATAATGACCGCCAATCGCCCTCAGATGGAAAAATCATTGTTCAAGAACAAAACGTTTCTGGTGTTACTGGACACGCTAATGTTAATATAATCGTACACAACGACTTTGAAAAAGCTTTGCCCACAGAACAACTTGGTGGAATGAGGGCCGGTGATAAACTAACCAAAGTGAGCGAGAGATTCAGCCAGATTTTGCATCATAAAGTGTTCCATTTTTTTCACTTAAAAATTAGGATAATGAAAACAGAACATCATCCCTGTTATCTACTTTAAATAAAATGCAGTATCCTTAGCGTACAGTCACCCATTTTTTTTTCCAAGATGAATGACTTGTAACCATAAGGGGTGGCTTGTTAATGCAAAATCGAAAAGTTGTAAGTGGTATTTTTATACATAAAAGAAAGTGTGATATCTTCAACAGTGCCACTTGTTAACCCGTAGATTCTGATCATTAAGAAATTTTATTAATGTTTCGTTTAAAAAGCTCGTAGTTATTTACACCTGCTTTTGCAACATTTATGAGCTGTCTTTGATGTGTCGAATTCATGTTCTTTGGATTTCTTATCCACCGCGTGCCTGCATCAGGACATCTTACGATAATACTTGATTGACAACTTAACCCATATCAATCCATCTTAACCATAATTTTTTTGACTTCTTGCTTCAATATAAACAGATGTTTCGCATCGACCCGAACCTTCAAAAGGTGGGGGCAAACAGAAACACCATCCGAATTAAAATCGACCCGTTGGCGTCCCCTTTTATACAGGACAAAGCCTGTTGTGAATGATTTTAATGTTGTAAAGTTTACCTATATACAAAAAGATTTTATAAAAGCAGACAATAACTTGTTGCGCGTCTCATTCATTTTTTTTTAGAAAAATAACTTTATTTGCAATCAATTAAGGAAGTAAGATTTGCCCAACTTATTGGGCAATTGCGCAAACTCATTTTCTAATGGCAGCCAACTTAAACTTTGATTTAATAATTACTAAGAAACATTAAGTCATTTCATTCTAAAACCTGCTATTTGGTAAGGATTTTTATGCAATTTACAACAAATAAATAAGTAAATAGATAAACACTCATGACAAAGGTATGGGGGTTCGATCTGGGTAATTATTAAGGCTCGAATATTTTTAATGGCCCCATCTGAAAGACGGACGCACTGAGACACAGATTTACTTCAAACGCACGATTTGCTTTAAGTTTAGAGTGTTTATCAGCAAAAACTTTAGAAAAAACTGGTTTTGTAAGGTAGAAAGGGAATCTCCTATCACGATTAACAATAATAATACCTAACCGTGTGTTTCAAGGATTGCTTTTATGTACAGCCCATGAAAATCTAATGCGATCTACAGCATGCATAATTAAGGCCCTGTAAGCTAGTGAGTTTCGGACTGCAGGTAGCCTTGCAGTGGATGCAATATTGACTGAAACACAGCATTCAGAGTCAAAAGTTGCCGTATTCCAGCCAGTGGATATTTTGAGTTCGATAGAAGCTGTAAATGAGAAAAGCGGCTCCCATTCACACAATTTTCGGGTCTTCATTCATATTAACCTTTTCAGTGTTAATGAAATGAAATATTTAAGTTAGGAAGATGAAGGCATTTTCATAACTACACAATATACTGAATCAATGAAAAAAAGATGAAAGGTTAGGTTGTAGATACGTACTAATGCTTCAAAACTCAGATATCTCGTGGCGATGTGGGGAATTTTAAGCAATGAATGAATGCTAGAACTTACATAGCGTTTGCTGATAATCCTTTTTGTTAATTAACAGCAATAAGGATTAAGAATATCATAGTTTGATGGAGTACCCATTAATGACTGTCTTCTTCATCTGTAACATCGTAAGTGAGTCCTAGCCCGGATGAGTTCTGCAAATTACTGACGTACTCGACCGACCCAATACGCTCCTCTTAACAGCATATGAAATAGTTTGGGTTTCATCGGAAAATTTGTAGATCGGGTCTAAGCGTAGACCCCATAAGCATATAAATGTGTCTAGTAAATTTTTACTGCTAAAGGTATAGACAAATTATTTGTTTTAAGAGAACGATTTGTTAAGATTAGGGTGCTTAAAATTCTGTAAAGTTTAAGTTTGAATTTAAGATGTTCACATACGTGTCATAAATAAGCTAACATCGTGTTTTAAGTGGGTCAGGAAGACAATAAATCCCAGAGCTTCGAGCAATCATCACCTAGCTCTAAATTATTTTGAAATCTAGAATTAATCGTCCAGTATGAAACACTTATGGTATAACGCTCCAGGTCTTTCAAGCCAGCGTCAACATAAAAGAAGATTTATTACTAACCCGTTGAGGGGTAGAAATGCTATATGCATGGTCGGAAGGCCGTGCTACCAAGACGGAAGTAAAGACCAAGGAGGCTAAAGAGCCGACGCATTAAAACATACTTTTATAATAAACAATGTCTTTGCAAAGCAATTTCAATAAATTTTGGATGAATGAATTGCTTCTTTAATAATTGGCACAAAACCACGTCTTATGCCATTGCTAAAAAAAACACTAGTAATAAATCACGAGGAGGGTGTTTTTCATTTGACATCAAAAGTGTCCTACAGTAATGCAGAAAAATTAGGTTCACCTTTTTGAAATTAAGCATGAAAAAATAATTAACCTCGTGAAATTGTTTGCCATTTTCTTACGCTTTGTTACAGTTTTTCTACCTCCTAGCAGGATAGTTACCTCAATTAAAGCTTTCGTTAGTTAACATTTAACATTTCATTCAAAATATTAAAAAACGCTTTACACATTTCATTCAGTCATTTAGGATTTGAGCGCATTCACTTTGTTAAAAAATATGTCAAAGGATACTTTTAGTAAACATAAAAAGCTGCAAGATGTAAAATGTTCCATAATTTTAACTTTTGCCCTACATGGTAGAATTGTTAAATCCTGTGCAGGAAGGAGTGGATGCATATAAAATCGACAATGTAGCAACCACGACCAAGGTTTTGTAGCAAACCCTCAATTTCCTGGCACAATGACTGTAATTGACATTTTCAGGGATTGTTCATTTTCCATGTTCTTTAAGTTAGCTTAGAGGTCGTTGGATGCCCTCTTTATAAAAGGCCAATCAGAACCAGAAATTGAAAAAGGATCCAAATAATAATGTTTGGTGTTTTTAATGAAAGCAATAATCAATGCCACTTTGCAAGACTGTAGGCGCTGCAAAAAAAGTGATTCGGGAAGTTAGTTAGAAGGCAGGTTGTCGTCTTCGTCATTGGTAAATGAATTATGCCGTTGCTCAAGGCAAAAGTTTAATAGCATTGTTGTAAGGCAAGGAGAAATCAAGTGTTCTGACCTTTAAATGTGGTATTTTAATTTTGCGAATGGAATTTCTACCCGCTATTTACAACCTGTACGCACAATTTGAATTAAACTTCCCTTTACTAGTCATGGGGTGAATTATGCGAACGCAAATAAAGGTAGCTCAATTGCTTAAGCCACAGTGCGTCCCAAAGTTACGATAGTCGAAAGCCCTAGTTGATGAAAATCGCACCACCGAATAACTTTACGCGGCTGCGATTGTCGACTCCACAGTGATGTGCCTGAAGCTACATTCCAGTGCTCGTTATTCTTTCCAGCCCATATGACATCAGTGTATAAATACTTCAAACTTCGCTTTGTTTTTGCTTCGTTAGTAATTAAATTAGCAGGCATGCAACTCTCAATGAACTTTCGCAAAAATGTCTTAAATCAAAATTTATGTCACTGATCCATTTTATGACACGGCCGCGGGTAGAAAGTCCGTCAATGTTGAATTAGATTAGAAAAGAAAAATAATGAGATCCCTTGTTTATTTTGTAAATACGAGCGACAATGCTGCTATTTAGGGAATAAAATTCCGTGAAGTATTCTATTTAAAATCAGTTAGCTGCCGCAAATTTGAACTTCCTTAAAGATTCAACAAATTTGTTGACCAAAAACCAGAGTACCTACCATCTTTCCTTCAAAATAACTATTATTGTAAATATCGTTTTTCTAAAGTAACACCACAAGCTTTAAAAATAGTCAAAACCCATTTGTAACTCTAGACATAGTCCAATGGAATTGGGCGTTTGCATAACTTCCAGTCCTAAGCAATGACAGATTTTTGGTCTACTCTTAATTCTTTTGTAAACAGCCTAGCTGGAGCAAAATTAAGCCTGATCTTCTAAGGCTTGCATAAAATCAAGTAATCGTGGGATCTGCGGCTCAAGTTTCCCAACTCAGCAATCCTGTTGTCGATGTTTCGTTATCTGAGGACCAAACACGACAAAACACGATAATTTAGACGATATTTGACTACACAACGAATAGGAAAACTGAGATTTTATATTACCTATGCGTTTTAGAACTTGGATTTTGAGCTACCGTCTTGTAATATCACTTTCACTTTTGCACCGATATTTTGCAATTCCGGAATTCATTGAGTCATACCACAAAGGTGCAAAAACGCATATTAATCCATTAGTTAGTAAAAAGAGGTGTTTGCTTTAGAACCACGCTATCGAGCTAACTACATTGCATGTGAAGCCTCGAGATTTCCCTGAGGAAGAAGGAGGACAAAATGCTTGGACAAAATGCATGCGTTTTATTTACAGAGTGGATTGAGGTCACCAGCATGGCCCGGAAGCCAGCCCACCCGACGAAGATACGGTGGCAAAGCACTTTAGTGGCCTCATTACCAAAACCTAGAGCTAAACAAACAATCACAGTATTACGCAGCCCCTCTCCCATTCTGAGCGTCGTCCCCGGCGCTCCTCTCCGCTAAACTGCAGCGTTAGCCATCACAACGCAATCGACGCTGTAAGAAAAACAGCCACGGACCAACCACGTTAATCATCAAAAATCCGTGCAATTAAGAAGATACCTGATGGTAACGTCAATGACCCCTCTTGTCATTTCTGCCGGACCTGGAGTTTTGTCCCGTATTGGAACTGTATTGGGGAAGGGAGGAATGTGCTGACCATTACGCGTGCCCATGGCTAGACGTAGGGAACTCTTACACAAAAAACAGTCGCATAACAAGGGACGGGATTTAACACAGGTCTGTGGGGGCAGGGTTTCGCTTCTAATCCTCCTTGCGACAATATTTTTACTTCAGACTTACCCAACCATATCTATCTAGGCTCTCTCTAACTAGTGGAAAAGTGGAGGAGTAACCGCGTTTTCACTTACTTGACATCATACGAGTACGGTAAGCAGCCTAGTGTCGCTTCCGCCGTTATTAGCGTTCATGAAGAACACAGGACTGGGGTCGATATCATTCTTACCTTTTTTAGGGGTTGTCACTGATTCCCCCATCCGCAGCATGTGTACTTCTTCCATCCCGCTAAGATTTATCGTCCAGCGGTAGATCAGGTTCGCTTTCCGAATGTACATGTCTGAGACCTCCCCAAAGACAAAAGAGGACATAATGCTCGGGCAGAATATGTGCATTCGATATAGAGAAGGACAAATTTTAAAGTAACACTTTTAACTTCATAAGTGGGACGATATTTGTGATGGCTTCTCATTTGGTCACATTGCCAAATTTTGTCATGTGCTGCCACGCGGAACAAACACCTTTTCTTTTAGCGCTCTAACCACGCAGCAGCTACTCGAGTGGGCACGAAGGCCCTTTTTTAAAAGGCATGCCTCTTTTGTGGCATTTCTCTCTTTTAATATAATTCTTCTGAGTACCCAAGAAGTTGCTCAATTTATCACTTGTTGCATGCCCTAATAAGCGTACAGGAACTCTCTGATGATATAGATAAGCTTCCTTATTCCTAAATTTTATAACTGATCGTGCATTATTCATCAGAGGTAGAAAATCATTTTATTGAATGCTCATACGAAACCCATTCTAAATTGGAAGTGCTATCGAATCGTCCAAAATTTCACAAACTCAAAAATAGGATAATGAATACATTTGCAGATATGCAGGAAAAATTGCTTTCGAATTAATATACACCAGTGCTAATGGCTTTTTCTAAAAAGTGTGCAACCGCACTTACACATAATTTGAAAGCATTATAGCTAGTCCTAGTCATCCACAAATATTACTTAAACAAATTACGATAGGCAAATCTAATGATGATATCATCAATGCGAGCTAAAAAATGACAGCATATGAAGAATTATGAACAAAATCTCCCTAAGAATCAAGTTGGTAGCTCTCCTAATAACAGACCATAAAAGTGGACATAAAATAAGCTTAAATCAGTAAAAGAGGCTTAAAATAGGTTTCCGCGACGCTTTTCGCATATCTCTCAGTTGAGAAAGTAAGTAAGAGAAGAAAGGTAGACAGTTTTCATCATCAGCTGTAGCATAATGCCACTAAAAGTCACACAATGCTTGTCGTCAATGCGCACAATAGCGCTAGGCCCTGGCAAGCATTATCTTGCGTGTGTTAAAAAGCCAAAATAGCATAATTTGTCCCAATTGTTTGCCGGAAGTGCAGCCACTTTAGATAGCCGCATTTAATAAAGTGCGTTAAAACTTGTCATCCTAGTGGCAGCCACTGTACCAATCATTTAAAAATAGCGGATGAATTTAAGATCGTAGCTCTCTGATGATAGGTCTCTTTTGTGCATATTGAGTGTGCCTTTCTACGAAATTGATATTAATATCCCGAAGATCTCCGAAAATCTAGGTAAATGTTACAAAATGGGCATTAATGTCTTAAAAGAATAACAAAGTTCAGAGTATCAAGTAGTCAACCTTGCACTAAGTTGTACCCCTTCGATTGTGCGCTTAATTGATTAGGACCTCCCATGTTGTAGGTTTGACTTGCCTGATAGGATTCACAGATTTACAAATGGTATGGGCCAATAGTCTACCCTGAATCAATTGGTAATCACCATAATTTTGCTGATCTTTTTATAAATTGAGTAAAAATTTCAATAGAATAAGACTTTTTGCCTAAAAACGGCTCTTATGGGCTGTTCATGAACGTCCTTGCCAGCTAAATCATCGCATTTCACGGTAATTGCATTGGGACACTCCCATAACTTCCACTCAGACGAGATCAGCAGTAACGCCTACTTTGCATAGAGGTGAGTATGGCCTTTTCGAGTCTCTATTTCGTGATTGGTTTCATTTGATTTTCTCTTTGCTACTATTTTATCAGCATTTGCTAATAATTCGCTTCTTTTCGGAGTTAAACCCACTACCCTACCCAGGTGAGCTTTTCTCTTCCCTGTGAAAGCATCTGCTGCAAGACACAAGTTATTTCCTTCTTATTAAGCTCTGATTCAAAAACATTGGAGATGCTGTCGTTTGGAGATTGTGCTTAGGAAAGTAAGTTAATTAAGTTTGAATGAAGTACCCGTTGAGATTCAAAACTAGGCGCTTCGTTTATATTAGAATGTCGAAGACCTTATTTTGACTACATAGACGTCGATATTGTGAATAAAATATGCACTAGTTTATCCAGTAAACAATTTCAGGAAAAGCTTAGATTGCTAGGCATTTCCATATTTCGTATCAATGGCCATGTTCAAGTGCCGGTAAATGATTAACTTTGAAATTAATGGGTAAAATTGGATTCGTCTTTTACTGCCGTACTTACTTAAAGCGGGAGAAAATGGGAGATAACTACAAGGGCACGCTATCCGCTGTGTCTCATCCACATCGCTATTTGTGCCATTATAGACGACTAAGTGAGGCACTTGCAAAACGTGTTCGTTTATTTGCAATAGAGAGTATGCACATGCGATGGCCCAATGAGGTGGCGTTCAAGGCTACAAAAGTTTTTAGTAAATTTTCACAGCATTCAGGTGAGGTGCAGTAGCAGAATTTATCGTTAATGTTGAGTTAGCGATTTAAGAACAACTTGTGCTGCTTAGTGTGAGTGTTTGTAGAGGGAAGGGAAAGTCGTGAAAGCCATGCATAAGGGTTTCACATGAAGTAGGTGACAACAATAACTTTTAAAGCCAAACGAATTCTTCTTTTATTTTTCCATGGCTTTTGTATTTCAATGCTGGTCGAGCACTTTCAAGTCAGATGTCACTTTAGCCACAGAAGACTATTGTTGCTGTGTGTTTTGCACTGCAGACGTAATTGTCTAATAGGAATTTCTTGTCAATGATCAAGCATAAGTGGGGTACCCACACAATCCTCACCGGAAGGGCATTATACCTCCCTGAAATTTATCAGTTTTATGGAAAAGGAGAAGGTCATTGTTTTCAATTAGAGCCTTTGTAGAACATGCTGAATTACATTAGGTTGATGCATGTTATGCGAAGTGTCCTATTAAGCAATGGATAAAATCAAGTGTTACGCAACTTTGTTTAGAAATGCGATGAAACCAATGTTTGTAATCAAATTGCCATCGAATTCTCGAGTATTAAATTTCGTGGGAAAAAACAAAGCAAAACCACATGAGCGGCTTCCCACTTTTTTAGAATCAAAGCATGTACTAAGTACCGGAATCCGATGGGAAATTTACTCAGCCATACAGTCTAAATACATGGCCGACAAATGGGGCGTGGCCAGCACCTACTGAAAAAGATGCTTTGCAGTATTTAGCCGTCCACATCCTGTTCATACAAAATATAGGAACCAGGAGACATCAAAATCCAACTGGAATTTTTAATTATAGAAGGCAAACTGAAATTTTACAAAGTCTTACTCATGGCCTTTATAGATTTACTCTGGCTTAGTTCTCCATTCTAAATAAGTTGAATCTTTCTACATTGGATAAAGGCAACTTAATTAAATTGTTTTCTTTGCTTCCATTTAGTTATTTTGCCTATCTGAATAGGCAAAGTGGTAAATTTAATTGGTCTTTTCTATTTTCTATTTGGTATTTTCTATTTGTGCCTGTGAAATGCACAATGTATGGAGTTGACCCCACGTGCTACTCAACGATGTTGCCACAATGCGGAGTAACTGATTATTCTTTTCTAAGGAAAAGGGGTCGAGAAACCCACCACCAACAGACGAACGTACAAGGTCTTTGCTTAACTCCGTTAACACCTTTTTCCTGTATAAAGCATCACAAGATGACAGAATGATTAGTAAAGTACTCCTATCTACCAGACACTTTTTCGCACCTTTAAAAGCTATTAAGTGGCAAATAGGTTGTTTTGTTGATAAAATATGTTCTGCATACATACAAAATTAGTATTGGATTTAGCTCACCTTCTATTTACTCTTAGCAGAACTTTGGACGGGACAACAAAGTGAAATACTTCTCCCATTTACAGTATAAACAAACTTATTCGAAACCAGCCATTAAGTCTTTAGAAACAAATAACAAATTTGTACCATTAAAATATATTGTTAATTAGCTTTGCTTTTACAACGGTACGCTAACTTCCTGCATTCTTTATTACTAACCTAAATTATTCTTAGCTATGAAGTTTGCAATGCATGTTCGTTTGAATGCATTTAGATGGCAGGTGAGCCGATCAGACCAACTTCGTGACCGAGAAAGCACTACCGATCTCCAGATATGAATAAACTGTTCCTCCCCTAAAACTTGCATTGCTTACACGATTCTATGTTATCACAATGCGTAATATTTTCTTCAAACCAAACTTCTCAGCACTAGAAAGCCGGACAATATAAAGCACATTTGAGTAAAAATATTGTGAAGTTTTTCTAAATTAAAATTACATCGTTGAAGATCGTAAACCAGGTTTTAATGTAACACTAATCGTTATTGTTGGAATTCGAGTCTCCTATACATAACGAAGTTTCGCACGAATTTTTGCGGTACGTCTGAACGATGTGCAATGTCTTGCAAAGTTCTTTTAAAAATGCTTAAATATTTTCCCGCTTTAAGGTTTGAAATTACGCTTCTAGATGTATTCATCTATACTGAAGGCAAATATCGACACTTGACACCTATCTTATCTATTTGTGGCAGCTCTTGACAGGCGGGAGAAAATATCAAATTAAACCATCCCATAAAACAAACGGGCTACTCACTAATGCGCCAACTTTCTGACTAGCAATCATCTTGGTGTTACTCAATATATGCATAGTTTTCAGATTAAGACGGTCGAAGCGAAGTTATAACAAATAAAATAATTGTAAACATAATATTGAAACAAGGTTTATAGTCCTTGTTTCTTCATAAAAGTTTTTTTTAAAGCAATATTTTGACTCCTTTTATTGAAATTGACCAAAAAATGGTGTAAATACGCGAGGGATTAAAGACACTGTAATGCTGAATCTGCTTTACCTGAGTGCTTCACAAAGTTACTTCGCTTTCAAAACATCTACTCACTATTCCAGGACTTCCCCAAGTTGTAAGAAACATTACATACGTTTTTTCAATTGACAGTCTACCAGCTATGATTACTAGTGCGCATAGCCCAGGACAGGAGGCATACCCCTCAGTTTTAAATTTTCAAAAACTTGAGGAAAGTACTGCATTTACAACTTAAGGTATAGCAAAAATCCAAACACCTCATTGTTCCACCTTCTAAAAATGCTTATGTTTCGCATAGAATGCTTCATGGTAAAAAATTGTTAGATCTTCGATCTGACTTGGACAAGCCAGTAATGCGTAATTTGCGGTTCCATTTATTTACCTTAACTACTATGCAAAATACTTTTCTAAGATGAAATTTCAGGTACTACCGCATGCAGGGGAGATTCAATCTTTATCATTCCATTGTACCTAGTTCATCTCAATCTTTTAAGTTCCTCTGCCTCCAGAAGTCATTTCCGAGTCCTTTAAAATGTTTCCAATGATTTCTCCAATGAATTAGGAATATGGGGACAAAATTTTACCGGAAGTAGTTGGGAAAGGCTGTGCTTGCTACAAAGCATACCCAAAACAGCTGATTCCTATGAAATATACAGTGCCGTTGGCTGCGGGCTTTGTGTGCTTTTGAAATAAACGTTTTAAGCCCTACCAAGCGATAAAATTTTAAATGAATTCGCACAATGCAAAAACAGTCTTCTAGACTAGATTTGTTGTATTTCTTCCTGTCCCATTTAAAAGAGAGATTGTTTCGTTCATCAAAAACCAGCCCTACCGGACCGGAAACTGTTTAATTGCTAAGTCCGTGTATTATGAACTGGAGGGTGACGAAATATAGAGACACCACAAAGGTCAACATTTAGCAGACGTTTAAACTCAAACTGTCTTAGGATTTGAGACTTAATTAGCTTCAAATGCCATATTGATTCGTGGACTTAACTGGTGATACCGTTCATGTAGAAGGCTCAAGCGAGCAGACCTCCACGGATCAATCTATCTACCCATCTCTTACGAATCAGTGACTAAACCAATGGCCTTCGACAGATCTAGATTGATGAAGTTTCCTTATTTTAATCAGATATTTCAGAGACTAGATGTAGTTTTTGGATCCAAACGGCGAGAGGGTTTTGCGACGATCAGGGGACAAAAGGGAACATGCCTGTCGTCACCGGACAAAATCCCTAAGAGACGATCCACTGTTCTTCTGTAAGAGCTAAGAACTTATTTTGCGAATGATTTCCGTGGTGACATGGTTCTAAACTGACACGTAGGCTGTTATCAGTTGGGATTTTTCTCGTGCCTGCCTACTATGGAGGCAAAATTCTGCCCACTGAATGAGTACTTGCAAATCTATGCACTCGGTTCCAGTTTACTACAACAGACCTCACGAGACTAGTATAGAACAACTAACAAATCGAAGCAGCCACTGGATTCCATAATAATCAACCTACCCACAAACGACCCCAATTTCTAATCTTGAAATATTGGCATTTGCAGTTACTGTTTTACCACTTAAATGTATCTTTAAAAAGTCGTACATATTACAACTCAAAATCCAATAAAATGGGAAAAGCATAACTTCGATAGAAAATGAAAACTCCAACTGTTTGAAGCCCCAAAAAGGCCGGTCGAAAATCGGTAGCAGCAAATTCACTCAACTATAAATAAACAGTAGAACTACACAGTTGGCATTTGCGCGCGTCCACATCGTGTGATGGGAGGAATGAGTTCATTTGAACACGCAACACAGCTGTGAAAGACGACCACACAAACATAGGGCATAAAACCAGGATGAAAGTGGAAGTGTTGAAAGTAGTAATAGTGTCGGAATGTGTGTATACGTACAAAAACTGAGGTAAAGTGAACCACAGAGGCAGGCGTGGCGGTGTTGAGCAGAGAATATGGGGAGGGGAGGAGGACAGTGCTAAAGGACGGAGACGGCCGTGTCCGAGACACCAGGGATAAGGGGTTCAAAGACATCGAGACGGCGATGGCTGGGATCGTCAGGCAGAAAGTGAGCGAGGGGCAGCCAGCGGTTATTCACGATGGCGAGGCAGAGGGCATGGTCGCGCGCATCCCCCCAACCCCCATTGGGGGGCACCGCCGATCGTTGCACCGTAGCCATCTCCACCATCAGCGTTGCTGGAAAGAGACCCTCATCGCTGCCGCCGCCCCTGGCTACCCGCTCCATTACTCCCACAACCGACGCTTCTACATTATCACATTCGCTGCCCTTGTTGTGTAGGCCACTGTGTGCATAAGGCGAAACAAACTCACTTCACTTCCACTCCTATCTGGTGCCCCTTTTTCGCACACCTACTTAGTTTTGCTGATCTTTAGCAATGTGCTTTATAAACAATAGGATTCCGTGCATTAATCAGGGACCCCAATTGAAACATCTCCTGTGTCGATGTTTTCACATTTCTGTAGACATTTCGTCAAGGCATGCCTCTAAATTCAAATTAACCTTAAGACCAAGTTGCTGTGATCTTACGGTTCCGTTTAAAATTGCGTCCCAGAAGATTACAGACTAAATAATGCGTAATGCGACTTCTCAGTCACTAAACAAAAGTCATGAGATACAGTCTTAAAGTACAAGATGAGCAAGCGCAATAAAATAAAGGTAATCGTTACTTAAAAAGTTTTTAAAATGAGAACATACCAAGAGCCAGTATGAAAGACTCGACCGCAATTTTTAAAATGCAGGACACGCAACTTTTCGCTGGCACACACACGGTCTATGAAGTAAAGGCTCCAGTCCCAATTGTAATCGTCATAAATGCAAAAGTTCTTAAAACGAAAAAAATGGTGCATTTGCTACCTTCTGGTAGGAGCTGTCCAGCGAATCCAAAAATTAGATTTCAAATACCGTACCTGGATTCCGTCGATCAACGCTCAAAAATTTTCCATAAAAAGTAAGAGGGGAGGGAGGGGAAGGGAACAAGATGTGGATGCGCATTTAATGTAAAGTTTAAAGAAGAACTCCACCGTGGAAGGCAGTCAATTTTCTCCCAATAACAAACATAAGTTTGAAGGAGAATGTGCATCAGCAAGAGTCAGCAACTTTTAAATTTTTATACAAAACTGAACTAAGTTTGCATTTTGGGTGAAAGAAGAAAGTTCCACTACAAGCAAGAATACCTACTTTCCAGTATGGTTCCAATTTTTGAAACAGATTTTTCGTAAACGCCATTCCCATGTTGTGCTTGGAAGAGATCCAATAAGTTTCGTGCACCTATTCAAGAAAATTCCACCAAAATTGCTCATTAGCCATTGGTATAATTCATTAGGTGAGGTAAAAAAAATTGAAGGTAGCATAAACAAAACTACCAAAGTAGCGCTTTGATCAATAGTTTAATTTCAAAAGCAAGTGCCTCTTGAAGCGGGTCTAAGTAAAGGCAAAATAAAACTGCACCGCATACGATGTGATGGTACATTTGGATGACATGCCGAAATGTAAAACCGAATGGTTAACCGAGGGATTTGGGAGTTTAATCCCTTTTGTCTTCCACAATAAGCTACTAGGCAACACCAATTCCATATGTATGGTCAATCATGATGAGATGTGATTAAGTGCCATGATATTCACCGATTTGTTTGAGTGACTTAAGCTTAAGCGCATACAATACGGTATTTCATTGCTTGGATAAGTTGCAAATATTAAAAAAACTTACGATTTCAGATGCGTTGTAAGTTTGCAAATTTTCATAGGACCCCAGGGCTATGACATCGAAGCTAAAATAAGTATGATAACCTCGAAGCTAACTCAGGATATTTTTACTATCTCATGAAATTTTTTTGAATAATAACACAGATATGCGCCTCAAATCAAATTAAACTAACTGAAGATTTCCAGATGCATAAAACTGAAGCGAATATATATCGCAGGATTGACACGTATTCATTAATACAGATTTATTATTATCGAGGCATGGCTCTCGTTAGCTTAAAAAACGTCTCAGTTACATTCTGAAGCGATTTAGGTAATCGCTTAAATCAATCAAAATGTTCACAAAGAAGTGGTCAAATAAATAAGGCAATAAATTATCTTAAAATCTGACGTTTTTACGAAAAAAACACTAGCTCTGCTTGTTCAAAAGTAAAAAAAATTAGACTCACCTTGTGTTAAGTTGTTTGGCTAAGCTGAGAACGTGAAGCATATCCTTGAGGACAATATAATCTTCCTCCAATAAGATATATTGGCCGTTGAAGGATTTTGATATATTCATCTTATTAATCACAAAACAAAGCTAGACCGAAGACACAAAAAGAAACTAATAGTTGGCTTTTTTATTTATGATTCCAAATTACTCTTAATCTGTGTATCATTACAAACTTGGCCAGTGAAAACCACATGGTGTAACTTCCTTGAACGTTTGACACTGTAATGCCAACACACAACAACACATACTGTCGGGTCGAGCTTTTGCAGACCGAGCGATAGCATGAACGCCTATACGCGTTTTCCGTGACCCGACGCTCAAGGCGTCCAAACGGGGATCAACGGCAGTCGTACGCAGGGACAGCGGTGGGAGCTAGTCTAATTAGCGGCTGGCCAATATTCAGTCACACACACATCTCTGTACATCCTCTGTGTCTCCAGCAAGGTGCGGGAAAGACTTCAAATCGACTACGACCTCATTAAAATTCTACTTTTGCGTGAGTCGAGTACCACAAGGGTACAAAGGCTACCTCACCCAATGCAAATTGTAAACTTCGATAACACCCACCATTGGCCACGCCATCAAGTGTTTCATCCCCTGTGCATGCAAACACCGGCATATGCCGGTGAAAAGGTTGGTATCGTTCTACGCGAATATAAACTCAACCTCAAACCTACCCCATACATCACCTAGGGGAGCAAAGTCATCCAGATACATGGTCAACAGTTTCTTGCCCTTATTATCACTACACGGTGTCAGTTTCCCTTCATTCTTACAGTCCCCGACATACTATGAGCCCTTCATTAGTGCTGACTTTCTCTCACACTTTATCTTGACCGTTAGTCTCCTCAGCGGTGTAAAACTCCACGACAGTGCCACAACATTTACCGTTCTACGAAAAGGTACTGCGATCAATTCGACGGCATCCGAATGGATTTGCTCCCTGATAACCAGTTCTCAACACTTAATTCCCCAGCATTGCGCAACTGGCCCCCCCTGACAATGAAATAAGATATTGTGTACACTAATAGCAATGCTTGCTCTCCCGTCTCAGCAAGACCAAGATGCCTGCTCGCAGAGAAACTCAAAACAGCCAAAATAAAATTTAACTAAAGCTGAACTTAGGTTTTATCCATCCTGCCAGCAGCCCGTGGTCTTCTCATCCCTGCATAGTACCCAAGAAGTTATCGAAGTTTAAAATTTGCATTGGGTGAGGTAGCCTTTGTACCCTTGTGGTACTCGACTCACGCAAAAGTAGAATTTTAATGAGGTCGTAGTCGATTTGAAGTCTTTCCCGCACCTTGCTGGAGACACAGAGGATGTACAGAGATGTGTGTGTGACTGAATATTGGCCAGCCGCTAATTAGACTAGCTTCCACCGCTGTCCCTGTGTACGACTGCCGTTGATCCCCGTTTGGACGCCTTGAGCGTCGGGTCACGGAAAACGCGTATAGGCGTTCATGCCATCGCTCGGTCTGCAAAAGCGCGCCCCAACAGTATGTGTGGTTGTGTGTTGGCATCACAGTATTAAATTCATACAGTCTCTATCATGAGAGTTTATTTTATCATATTTCGCATCGTTACGGGGACCCCACACCCTTCCGTTTTCCTGAAATACCATTTTGTCTTTGTGAACTTCTAGGATGACTAACCTTGGACCACAAAAGATGGTAAAGACATTTTAAAGGGTTGGACAAAGAGAAACTTTAAAATGCGATCTGATAAATTGTTTAAAAGGTAAAAATTGCCCAATTAACCTAATAGGTTGAATTGGTTAAAACATCAAGGAGACAGTCTTACTTTCCAGATCCAGTGATGCTTCACTTGGGCAAAACGGGTATCACGGTAGTTGCCCGCAATATCCGGCCACTCATGATTCAGACAATCTTTGGCTCTAAAGCACAATTTTTTTCTTTTCATTAAAAATAAATTTTCCACCTCATTCCTACTGTTCCGCCTAGTTCTACTACAAAAGTTAAGATAGATCATAGTTTTTGGGCAAACCAATGTCTGAAATCATTTTCCAAAAAACAGATGGAAGGCAGATGAAATTCCATAATTAAATAAGGTTTCTGAAATCTAAGTAGAGTTTGAACTTTAGCGGTTATTTTCCGTGACCCTGCGGTCACGTACAATGCCAGATAACATTTTAACAGTGCGGTTAAATAAACAGCCAGTTGAAACAAGTTCATTGATAATACGATATAAAAGCACCGTTTATAAAGATATAAACACTGAGTACGTAGCAATATTGATCTATTTATACGATGACCTTGTTGTCTTAGGTTGTCGATGCACCTTTTGCGCAGAGCATGTTGATTCCAACAATTTGCGAAGATACATAGCTCAACAAAAAAACGTTTTTTCCAGATGATTTGACAACTTAAGGTGAACCACAGAATATTTAGGTGACGCACTATTAGAAACAAATTTCATATTCCACATAAAATCGTAAAATAAAAGGAAGTTACCACTGAGTTAGCAAAAAAACAATGTATTAGTAATAAAGTGATGGAGCGAAGTAAATTACTTTCACGCATGCTCATAAACCTATGACGAAAGCACGTAGGCTGAGCGCCTCCCCTAATGTCGCTAAGCTTAAATGGCTTCACACGAGAAAATAATAGAGGTAGCTTCAATTCATCCTCATCCGAAGTTATTGACACATTGATCGATTAAAGGCTTTGTATACAGCAAATGTCATATGATATAGTTATTAAAAATTTTCCAGTGAGACCATTATGAGAATCGGCCAAGAGCGGAGGCTCGAGGCATAAAAAAATAACTCATTTAAAAGACATTATTTCGGTGGATCACTTATTTGAGATTAATGGAGTACAAACAACAATTTAAATGATTACAAAAAAGGAAAACCTGAAACCGGGTAGTGCTTGGTAGTTTTTACCTACAATAGGCTACAGTTCAGGCAGTTTCAGAACAAAAGGGCATGCCATATTTCGAAAGCGGTAGGAAACCTAATCACATAAAACATGACAAGTAGGCGAGACTTTCTTAATACGTATTCCAAAGTTTGCCCTTCTAAGTTGAAGATTAGGAGTGCGAAAATGTCTCGATATGTAGGCCAACTAATTTTACATGTTATGCCACCTATATCATGAGATGAGGAACATGGGCAAACAAATTCAAAAAATCATGTATTCCACGTCAAATGGAGATTAGATACGGCTTCATAACGACTAAGCGACAAAACGCCTGGCGAATTGCAGACTATGAGGGGAGGGGCAAAATTAACGATACGACAAAAATTTGCACATTCATGGTAAATGGGCACCTTGCTACCCAGTATCCCTAGGTCCCCATTTTAGATAATTGCTTTGACGATAACAACGCAATAGGCATTTTTTATAAGAAATGTTTTTACATACCAATATGCAAATAAGTTCAGATATTTATGAATTTTAAAGCAAAGACTCCACTGAAGTAATTATTTGCTAACCAATAAATCTATCAATTCCGATGAAGGCATTCAAATTAGCACACAGATAATACTGCAAAGCGAAAAATCGCCTTAACACAAAATTCGTACAAATAAAATTTAGAATTAATCGAACTACTAATATCAGCTACTCATAAAAAGCAGATTGGAACTTGGAATAAAATAAACGTCGACAACAAAGTGCAACTACTAAACATTTCTCAAAAACCGATCTAACAGGCATACGGGTTACTTTGATCCCCAGCCACAAATTCTCAATTTACCGCAGGTAGAAAAGAAAGATTATGGCAAAAAGGTGATAAATCAAAGTCATTGCCAGCATACCCGCGAGTATGACAATCTCTTGGATCAGGGCCAGGGAATAAATTGAGGAAAATTTGGCGACTGTACGGAAAGAATATCTGCGTGAAACGGACAAATCGGATGGCGGCAATCATGCGATTGATTTCCGGGGAAAAAAAGTCGTGACTGAACACCACAAGTGCTTCTTCAATTCCACGCACTCTCCTAAGCGATTCGATCAAATACAGAAGATGAGTGTAACGTTGATGGACCTAAAGAAAATTGCGTTAGTGTGTGCATTTCCTAAAAAATCTAGGTTCATAATTGTCATTGTTATTGGTAAGTCCTACCGTTTGAGAGGCGATACCTTGATGACCTTTTACCTGATTTCTCCAGTGTCTCTCAAACACTAAAGTTCCTCTAGTTACCATATTATTTGTAACTTTCTTCATTAAAAAAAGCGATAACCGTGGCTTAAATGGTCAGCAGAAGCGAAAAGAGGTAGCTTTAGATTGGGGAAAACTCCATATTTTTGTCACCATGATCCGACTTATGGACATTAAAATCATCTTATAAGTATAAATGAAGCTTGCTTACCTGGACAATGATAATAAAGAGGGGGGAAGCTTTACCAAAACGGTCTATGTTGTGAATATATTGGGCTTCATTGACGCTATGAATGTGATTTCTGAGTAAGTGAAGGTTTGCAACAATTGCGGCTTTGGTAGGCGTCCATGTGAAGTCGGAGGAATTGTAGAAAGCAATGGGAAGAGATGCATTTGTGAAGAACATTAGTTCGGTCCCGTTTTCAAACAGGCTCGACTTCTGGAGACTCTGGATCTAAAAGAAATTCAATCTAATATTCACATCCAACCCAGGCTTCAAATTAGTGCTTTTTTAAACATACCGAAAATAAAAAGTTCACTATTCTTAGGGAGCATATAAGGACATCATTTTGTGAAATATCCCCAGGTTAAACCCACTGCTTACAAAGAAGCAATAGTATAAGCACATTTTTAAATTTCGAGTCACGAAAGTGTAAAAGGTCAGGTTTATGTCCAAAATTTTTGCTAATTTTTCATTTACAAATCTAGTAAGTTGTTAGATAAATTTTAAAAGAACTTTAATTACAAAAATACGGGAATTTACATCTGGAAGACAAAAGCAAAGGAAAAAAAATGTTGCAATGGATTTGATTTTACTAGGCACCTAATTTTTTATCCAAAAATCATGACTTGTTATGGACGGAAGAAGACTTGAAATAAGTCCGATCCACGAATGCAAGGGCTGAGCATAATAACTTAATGCTTTACTGTACTCTAAGTTGGTAGCTTAGAAAATATTTCATCCAAAACAAAGGCGTTAAATGTGGGTAACTTTATGAGAAATAAAGTAGAAAACGCTTCCAACACAGCTACAAATTGCCAAAAACTGTGTATGATAAAGTTCTTTTCTAGAAAATGAAATCATTCGCTAACACGAGTAAAATTACTGCCAATTAATTTGGTAAATATGTTACGGAAGACCACGCGGTAATTAAAAATCGTTGATATGTGTAAGACTACGCAAATCGAACAAACCGTACCTTTTTGCTGTTCCGGTCAGTAATAAAAAAATTAAAATTCTTCTTTTCAGAGAGTCCGCCAATATTTGCGATTCTCGAAGTGTTGAAGACAACAATCGCAATAAAGCAGAAAATCAACACAAGTGGATAAGCTATTCGTCGACGAAGGGGCATTATCAGAATCCTAAGTAGAAGACAGTATGCAAAAGTTATCTCTAAAAGCCAAGTAAGCAATATTAGCTCCTAAATCGGTCATAGCAATTAAAAGACCCTATAAAAACTGAAATGATTAGACATAAAATGCAGTTTGGAAAATTTCCCACAGGCGTCTGCTTGAAATTAAAGGAACATCTTGTTACAGATTCTATACAGATTGTGACCCGAACTACCTGGTGAGTATTTCTATAAGACAACATCGCACGATCGATTCTAGAAGAAATCAAAGAAATAATGGATCATGGATTGATCCCAAAGGTACAGCCTAGAACTGCACAGAAGTCAGCTTATGTGGGTAGGCCACACGCAATACATCACAGAAAACAATTGTGTCAATTTTTAATTGCTGCGTTAATTCCAAACATCCAGGTATTCTGGACTCAGTCCACATTAGGCCAGAAAATGATTGAACTAGACATCTAAAGGCAGTAAAAGCACCTGAAAATAAGATTTATGCAAAGCGCTAAGGTAAGGATTTAAAAAAAGGCAAATCCATAATGTGTACAACGACAGAATAGTGATCTAGACTAGTGGTTTGAGAACAACGAAAAGAGAATTAGGTTCAAATAACAAATACCATTCTCACATAGTCCCCCACATTTCCTGTTTAAAAATATTAAATAAGAAATTCATGGGCCTGATTTCGAGCAATGCCACTCAAATCTGCCATTACGACGGGACCAATCATTAACATGTAAGCCACAAAAATATCGTAAGAGCACACGCAATAAAAACAAAACCCGACGTATCTGCTCAAGATATAATTGTAAAAGACGTAATAACGATAACCAGCTTAGATGTAAATATATAGGAGAATCTATAGTTCGATCAAACTTGTTAAAAATATATTACTACAAGAGGTCTCACAAAAAACACGCAAACCTCACCTGAACAAAACAATCCTATGCTTTCAGCAGTAAAATCGTAGTTCACTTAACCTCGCAAATTTGCAGGCACGGCATCCCAGCAATGCAGTCGATATTGAGTGCATTAACGCCAGCTTGAGAAACGCGGCAGTTGTTTAAGGCAATGCAAAAGGCGGTATAGGAAACAAAAATACGGGTAGCCCAAAAACCAAAAATTAAAAAAATTGTAAAAAATATTGAAGTTTGCAGGTTAAATTAGCATATATTCAATAGTAAACTGATTTTGGGAGCAAATTTTAGGCTTTCTAGAGAAAACGAATTAGGACGGCGTTGAAAAATGTTTTAAAGTGTATGCTGAATAGTAAAATGGTCTTATAAGAAACTTTTCAAGCTTTCTGTGCCAATACGCTCCTAATTTGAACTAATCAGGCGGCTCATGTCATCTTAAACTAGATTGCTTAGTTGTCAGCGTCAACTAAAGCAACCAATGCAATTTTTGCCATCCTCGGGCAGATTCTCAACTACTATGCGGAGCGAGGCTCCTCGGTCTCCGCTCCCCGATTCCCAGCGTTCCTAGACAAGCCCGGTTGATTCGCTTTGGACATCTTTATTAAAGGTGACAAGAGGGATAGGGAAAATACAATATTCAAGACGGAGGGGAGCCGCGGTCACTAGGTCAGGGAGGGGACGACCCGGCTACAAGGTTCGAATTTCCTGTTTGCCTCCTCCCTGAAAAGCACATTAAAACAACATAAGTACTACAATTATATATTGATCAAGATTATTTTCAAGTTTTCCGTCATGGAAAAGCCTATTAAAATTAAACAGCTTATTATGATTCCTGAGGATGTAAGTAAGTACAGATTTAAAGTAACGTTGTTGCAAAAAGTGATAAAGCATAGTTGCAAAAAAATGTTCGCAGCTGCGCAAATCCGTATTTTGGTAGGTAATTCATCCTTTTAAAAAAATGGACGATTTGGAATCCAGATCACGTCAGAATAGCATGAGTTCTTTAGAACGACCCTTTTAAATTGTTTGGTATTCTAACTGCTTCTCTATGTGCCTTAAAAGGGAAACAGGCACTCGTAATTATTGACACTATAATAATTACTCCGGTTCTTTAAATATTATATGCATGAACGCTCATCTACTGCATGTGGATGTTATTGGGACTAAGGTAAGGCTTTTTCTAAAAGGCTTTACTTTGCCGTAGAAATAGCAAGAGTAAATCACGTGAAGTATTTTATAACACTCATAATTCTGAGGTCATGTGAAGTGCGCAGTTCATCAACACAATTTTCCGCGCGAAATCCTACGACAGATAGGTAAGACCTCCATTTTTATTGTAACCACGCTTCAGTTTAAGGTCTTATTACTCAACAACATTTGTGTGTACTAACTATGGAGAATAACCTTTCTGTGGAATATATCAGATGGTTCTATAAACCACTGAAATGCAAGAACATTACCCCAACTGTCGAACCATTTTCCGGATATGATACTGTTCGTATCGAAACAAAGTACCAAGAATTTTGTAATGGTCTGAATTTGGGTGACTGCAAGCTTGAAGTTAGAGAAGGGTTGTATGAAATCGACTTTTCAACTCGATTGTGCACCCCAATTTACTGGAATTGCGATCGAATTCCTAAGGTTTCAAGGAGCATCTTTTGGCGATCAGCGATTGTTCAAAGAGGGCTGTGGTTTAGAACTGATAACTGGCAGCCAATAGATGAAGCCGAATCCAAAGCGCTAGAAGATGTTTACATTAATGAAATCCTGAAATTGCCGAATCTCCTGGTACCTAAAAATGAAAAAAATGATGGTATGCAATGTCGAAAAATCTAGTTCAGTCATTGCTTCCTTGAATATTAATAACAGATACTACAGATTCTTAAAGAACGGTGATGTCTATCTTGATACGAATGCTGCTGCACACTACTTCAGGAAAAAGTACTCGATGATTGACGGTAAATTCTGGCAAATAAGACATTTGTTCAGGCATCCTCTTATCAAGGGGTTATAATAAACTTGCAACAAAGGATGATCAACCTTCTGATGTATCACATCTTGTCTTCATTGCACATGGAATCGGACAAACTCTAGGTAGCATCACATGGGACTGCATAAGGTACTAGCCTTTTTTTAAAAAGATGCTATAAACAAGTTGCTTGTTAATTAACGTGGCTCCGATAATGGCAGAGTTTTCTGTTTCCTTTTACTGAGATAAGACGTCAGGTGCTCAACTGGTGTTTGATTCTACCGTATTTTAGATTACGAGAAACGTGCTCAAGGCTGAAAAAAAAGTACTTTACGAAGTACAAGGGTCGATTGGAGTTCCTACCTATTGAATGGCGTACAAATCTACCATTAAATGAGGGAATTATACGCAGTGTCACTATAACGGATTGTCAGCCTCTACGTGCTTACCTCAATAGTACTGCACTAGATATTATGTATTATACGAGTTCCATACAACGCATGGAGATTATGAGGGCCTTCCATCACGAAGTTGTTCGTCTCTATAGTCTCTTCTGTGCACGTAATCCTCACTTTACAGAACGTGGTGGCAAAGTTTCTATTATGGCGCACTCTCTTGGTGCTGTAGTGGCCTTTGATGTTCTCACAACATCCACACCCATGTACTCAGATATGGCCTATATTTGCATGTTGCAAGTAAGGAACAATATTGGTTTTCTTAGAATTTAAAGAGATATCCTATTTGATTTCAAGTATTTTGATTCAAGATTTTGGAGGAATAAAATTTCGTAAAGGTGTCAATTAAAGATGAAAAATGCTTGATGTTCACGCAAACTTTCACTATAGGCCAGTTAAGTTCACCGAACTGTTCAGTGTCCACCAGTGTTTATTCAACCGCACTGTCAAAAAGGATTTGAAATTAACGTTATTTGTCCCAGGCTCTCAAATTTAATCTTCCCCTTATAATGAGTTTAACATCTCCTCTTCTATTATTCTTTTACATTTATTTTTCGTACTTAGAAGATGAACAATGAATTTAACGAAAATTGTGACCTGATTTCACATCACACCAGGTAACCGTTTAATTCCCATTGCTTGCGATTATTGACGAATTCAAATATTTGTTCTTAGATTCCATTTCGATACTTTCTTCGTATCGAGGACTAAAGCAAATGGAGCTCTACTTGGTATACAAAGAACAAAATAATTCTCTGCACAATTACCATAACTTTTGCATACCTTGTTGTATGAAGGGCTAACTTAAATATTTCGAAAATTTTGGTATCTCAAAGTTGGCCTATGCACGGTAATTTGTCTACTAGACGCAAAGCAGATTAAAAATCACAGTCTAGTTTCGCGAAAAATAACCACTAATTGTAAACGGTTCATGCCAGTGGCGGTTGAAATATTTTACCTGCTAAAAGTCCCACTGTGTATTTTACGAAAATTGTTCGTAGTCTAACGAAACCTTGTTTCAATTCCGTCACTTTTTAGGTTAACAGAAATAGAGCGAAAACTCCTAAACCGCACAGAATCCCAGAAGGTATTATTTTTGTTGTGCACTTTTTTATCAAAAACATACCAGAATAGTAAGTTGTATTTCAGAGAAAGTTATAGACTTATTGGTAGAAATGCTAATCACGTGTTTCCACGCATTGCCCATTCTTTTCGGCATCCAGTTGATTGAAGAGCAATTGAAGGTTTTGAATTGGTGGTTTAGGCTACTTAAACCGGACTACGACTAATGTTTTGTATTTAACTCAACTGTAAGCGTCTAAGCCAACATGTATGTGCTAAGTCCAAACTACCACTATGTATGGGAGTACAGCATTTGATAAAAATATAGGCAGGACTTTTCTGAATCTTACTCTATTTGGAACCAAGTGTTCTTGTCAGATTTCTCCTGTTTAAATGTGTCATCGACACCGTACTTATTTGGCTCTTTTGAAAGAGTCTCCTAGCGTCTCAATAACGCTTTAGATAGTGCTTAATGGATGTGTTTTAATTCCAACCTTCTGCCGGTTTCTTTTAAATACCCACCTCCGAGGTATGCCCTTCCATTCTCCTGGGCTTTGAGCTCGCTCTAACAAAGCTAGACCCTTTCATACAAGTTGCATTTTCCTCCTTAACTTCATGCGTTGATATTCGAGTAATTTTAACTTCCAGATTTGCTCAAAAATATGATGGAGTGAGAGCACTCCACTCAACACTTGATGTATTTGCAAACCGATTCCCGTTGTAAATGGTTTGCTTCTAAAATACAGGTCTTTCTAACTGTTGATACCATCGATATAAGGATATGTTCCTAAATCAAAGTTGATCTCCACTCCTGCTCTCTTTGTCTACCATCAATAATGGTCCCCATTCGCTGTAATAAGTATGAACAGGCATGTTGAATATCACTACCATTAGTGGATATCTAATTTACCTGACCGTATTTTCACAAGCTTTTGAGACGGGTAATTTTATCAGATTCAGTCTTCAGTGATTCATTGACTGCGTTAAAATACCCCGATATGTGGGTGGATTAGATAATAGTGATGTGGTCATGGTTAGTCTAGGGCACACTAGTATGACAAAAGCACCATCGACTCAAGTAATTTTTGTTCTTTTCAGGATGTACCGGAGCTACCCAGTACCGCCTCATTTCCTGAAGTATGACATTTGGACTTAACGAAGGCACTTTTTGAATTATGCATATTACGGTTATTAATAGCGCCATAAGGATAAGGCACTCCATGGGATCTATCAAACTAACAGAAACTTTTTAGAGATTGACATTTGAAAGGCAAAAACTGTGTGCATACTTGTGTTTCCTTAGTGGGTTTACAGAAAGGCACGTTCTCTACTTAGATGCTTAATCTTCTTGCACTTTCCCGTAAGGCAAGAAATGCATAAACAAGATTCTAGCTGCTTGACAATGTTCAGTAAGTGCGTTCAATAGAGGCTCCTCTCAAAAGAAAACGAACATGGCAAGAATACATCAGACAATATATAACAATAGAGGTAATGGGGCTGAATGTTATTTGTATTATATCAATATTTTTTGGTTTTTGTTTTCGTCAGTACATATAGTTTGAAATAAAGTTTCGGCACAAAGGTTTGGGTTTTTTATTGCCATTCAGCTATAAAAGTTAATTTTATATGCAATAAGTCGCCCGTCATCGCTTCTTCATGGAACTTATCGTCTAAACGCGTGCCCGTTTTCAGTGAAAACGATGTAAGCATAGGAAACATTTAAGCCAATGCATTTGCTTCCCTACCAAGAACTTGAATTTTGAACAAGTTACAAAAAAGGATTTTCAAGATAGTTAAATTTTTTTAACCGGGAAAAGGGTAAATCGCATTTGTTATCAGAATATAAAACTGGAGGATTAAGGGATTAAAACGAATGTAAAAGCAGATAGCATAACACGAGCTTAAACCGTCCCTGACTAGTTTGCGATGAACCACGATAGACTAGTTTAACCTTGATAATCATATCACTGGCTTCAATTCCTGTGATAAAGGTCTCTTCCTAATCCGTTTTTTGTTTTTTTTTTCGATATGCCGATTGTGTTTTTAACACTACTCAGCAAAGCCTGAGAAAATGCAAATGCAGTTTCATTTTCCAACGTATATGAAAGCACTTCGCTGGTAATTATAAAGATTAAAATCATGACAACTTGAGGAATTATAAGCCATGTTTTTGTGGATGTAGATAAAAAATCTCTTTTGCCTCGGCTCTCCTCTGGGTGTTTTCCTCGCTTTACGTGGTGTTAAGCCGACAGATGAAGAAGTGTCACTGGATAAATCCCAGGCGCAAAATGAAGTGGAAGCTCCTGATTCTGATATTGATGAAGATTCAGACGCCAAAAATACCGAGTGTCTGAAGAGTTGTTTAAAATTTAGGGATGAATCCCATCTGCAGAGCAGCAGGACGAACTTCCGACTGTTTAATATATTTCACCCCCGTGATCCAGTTGTATGTTTAAAAACAACTTATATCTGTACTGCTCCGTGAATTTTGGACGTAAATGGAATGTTATATTTTAGGCATATCGTTTAGAACCGCTCATCTTAAGGCATTACACTAATATTCAGCCAGCCGTTATTGGCAATCCCAAGCTCCTCAAAGTTCCTGATCTGCCCAAGAGTCCTCCTGTACGTCCCATGGAAGATTCTTTTGGTTTTATAGAAAAACAGCCAAATAACAAACAGAAAGCAAAGTTTTCGAAGGTATTTACTAAGAAATAGTTATTGCATCAACAGCCTTTGCAGTGAGCACGACCGCATGATTACTTTCAGTTGCAGGCAAGAACGAACTCATCTTCTTCGGTTCCAAAATCTCTCGGTCTCGCACGTAAGCTACCATCTTATATCTAACCATTCATGAATCCCACCACCTTTCACCATCTTTCGTGCAAATATTGGCACCATCCAACCGACTCAGAAAAATTCACTTAGTCTTTTAAAGGCATTAATCTAAAACCATAGACAAGAGCCAGCAGAAACCAGGAAAAATGTGCCGGTAAGACTGATGATAAGGCGCCAAAGTAGAGATACGAAGCGTGGAAAAGAAGACATTAAATGAGTACATACCCGAATCAATGCATGTTTTTGTCTTTCCAAAAAAGTGAATGCCCTGGCAAATTACCTGAAGAAAAGTCACCCTCCAGGAATCGCGAGCCTCTTCGACACATGGGAAGAGCCGGCAGACGGAATGAAAATGATGCCGTCTCCTTCCGAGCGTCATCTCCGCGCACGCATCGACTTCCAGCTTGAAGCTGAAGAACTAACTGTACAGAACCTACTTATGCACGTGTTTACATCGCATGGTGGCTACTGGACGAACGAGGCACTGTGTCTTTTCCTTCTATCACAGATCTTTGGTGAAGCCCCGAAATTCACATCTCCCTAGGGAGTGAAGATCTTCATAAAGAAAATTAGTATTTTTGGATTGAATCTGCTTTATCTTTTTACGGGATTCATTGTTGATAAACTAGAACCAAATTCCCATTTCGCATAAAAGATATGTGGACAGTGCATTTTCCGATGCCATTTCCGGTACTTGAATAAAGTCAATAAAGGCTGCTTTTCAGATCCCTTCCATCGGTTACCAAATGTAATTAGGGACGACTGCCATTTGCTGCTTATATGTATTCCATTACAGCAAACAAAGCAACGGTTATCGGAGTTTCAACGTCGGATTAAGATCAAAATAACTAGTTTATGACATGCTTTCACTTTATACAGCGTTCAGTCGATTAACAAGTCTACCTGTTGCACAAAACCGTACTCGAAACTCTCAACAACCCAACCTAGTTAGCAAACAAAGCGGACTGGAAGAACAAATAAATCCGCACAAGAAAACTGGTGGCATCACGCGGCAGATACCATCATTACATTGCCTAGGTGCCAACTTTGCTGCAAAAAGAGTGACGCCAAAGAATGTACATTCTCTTAATCAATAAACCTAATGAATTGCAAGAAACAAGTACAGGTATACTATTTACATGAGTGACATGTGTACACATGATAAAGATGATCAAATTATGCCCCACCGGAAAAGAGGTTGTTCATAAAGTCTTTGTCAGTCAGGGCGGAAAACCCTTCAATGCCTTCAGGAGCCGTACGACTGGACCGCGCCATGCGATCTCTAAGCTCCTCTTCAGTAGGTTTTTGCAGAGCGACCAAATCAAGGGGGTTTCTCTCCTTAAACCTACAGGTACAGTAAAATATTATGAAAATCAACCCAACTGCGAAGACAAGCAATGCAAAACTTTAATGAAGTAACTACAAAACAGGAAATGACTACTGGATATACAGGACAACAAGCATGAAATACTAAACCAAAAATGCAAATAGTTTGAGTACTATAGCGCAGACGCAAAAAGGTTCCCGCTAGGTAAAGTACCTTCCTTTCTTGGACGCTCTCAACCTAGCCTCCAATTTGTATGAATCAATACTGTTTTTGAAAAGCCGTGCTTGTTTTTTAGCGGTTATAATATCACGATCCTTCTGAATCCTTCTTCGTTCCTCATCCTGACGCTCCATTGCAAACAAATCATCCCAAGTTACTTTTGAAAGGAATCGCACATTCCACAGTTCACCGAACCAAGGTTTTCTCTAGAGATGCGATTTGAATAGGGGAAATACCTTTCCTCCAGGAACCTCTAAGCAATTTAAAGTTCTTGCAGCTTTTCTGGCATTTTTGCGCTTAACAAACTCCACCCAACCTTCCGAATACTGACGCTGCGTCTTGTCACGCGACGTCTTCTTTGGAACAAGGTAGACACGGTTAATTGGCCCAAAGTTTTGAAGTTCTTGGGTTAGCATTGCAACATTCATGCCAGTAGGGATGGACGAAAAATAAACAACACCAGAAAACGCGAAAGAGTCGCTTTCGGAAGAACGATTCTGGCTGAACACCATGCCGGCATAAAAGAAGCAGACCAACACCCGAGATAAGCAACGGCCACGCGGTCAAGATGTGAACTAAAAATGTAAACTAAAACAAAATCACTTTATTTTATTAGGATAGACAATTTAAAAATTTAGCGTTAAACTTTCAAATTTATGAGATATATTGATGGCTTAATTTTTGTTTAGCTGTATCAAAGGGCTCGATATACATACCAATTCAATTATTGCGATAACTGAGGAGCCGGCTGATGGATTGCGCTACGAATTGGTCTGTGAAAACTAGGGGAAAGTCCTGTTTGCCAACGTGGTAAAACAGCTCTGCATTGTATACTCTAAAGTGTCTGGGATTTGTGTTTTAGTCCTGATGGCAAATTAATTGTCGCAGTTGCCGGTTGCAACGTACTGGTTTACAAAGCTGAATGCGGAACATTGCTGAGAACATTAAAAGGTCATAGAGACGTTTGCTTGTGTGTTAAGTTTAGTTCTGATGGATCCTATTTTGCGAGTGGTGGGGTAGATAATAGTGTCATAGTGTGGAAAAGTGTTGGCTTCGATGGCGTCTTAAAATACACGTAAGTTCTGCGGGGTCTACTATTTACCCTTCGAAGGCACAACTCCAGCGTACAAAGTCTATGTTTCAATCCAAAGGTGTTACTTCTAGTCAGTTGTTCATCCTGTGATTTGGGTATTTCGCCAGTAGTGCTAAACCGTATTTTAAGGTCTCTGGACGCCTGACCAAAAGTCCGTTAAGCGGGCCAAGCTTCCGTGTCGTCCCCTCTGTTTGGGGTGGACAAATGACGGAAATCTTCTAGCCGTTGGTTTGCAAAATGGTTTTGTGACCATACGGAATCAAGTAATTCACTGAATGTGCTGGTAGTTTTAGGGTGGGGAAGAGATGATGTCTGTTGAAAAGGGGGATGGAGCCGCTATATGGGATTTGCAGTGGACATACTTAAAGTAATTTGAACTTACAGCGGCATGTTCAGCTCTTGTAAAGCGGAAATGCTTGCGGTTTGTGATTGGAGTGAAAGGTTGTCGTTCTACCACTTAGCCGGTAAACAGGTGAGTTGTTAAAGTCGGTGAAAATAAAACGCTTTGTTGCTCTATACTGTCTGTCGAAAATGGCTAAATTTTTAATTAATGATTTAGGTAATTCCTTCAGTGCATACCTACATATTTTTAAAGCAAGCTAAGTGAGCATTTTAATCGTTCCGACTTGCTGAATGAATAATAAGATCGAAAAGACTTGGCTAAAGCATGTAATGTGGGATGATTCAAGTGCAGTTGTATGATTGTTATGTATATTAATATGGTTCGCCTATGCTACCTAGTTATATAGTTGCTGTCCTGACAAACTTAGATTAAAATGAATGTATTTTTGGTGTTTTACATGCAAAAGTGCGCTTTTCCGCGTTTTCCAATTGAAGATGCAGTTTACCAGTCCTGTTGATATTTTAATTTTGTTTTTAAGGTATTGCAGCCAAGTGGATCCTTGATGAGCAGGCTCACCATTGCACAAAAAGTATTACATATTATTCCTGCTAATCAGTCCCTAAAATGTGCTTTTTCTTAATGTAGTCTGTCAAAGGTCCAGTTGGCATCAAGGTGAGCCTATAAATAGCTGATTACCTCAGTTCATTCGAATATTAGTGTGGAAAAGATCGCTACCTTGGATTTATTCCTATGTGCATGAAGTGGATTGGGGACTTGTCTGAGTATTTGGCAATTGCTGGACAAAATCGGAAAGTGAATTTGTACAGTTATGAGGGTTGTCAGCTTGGAGCTCTCAGTGAAGAAAATTCCTGGATTCTGAGTTCTGCCAAGCACCCAAGAGAGAAGTGCTTGGTGAGTAAAATTGGGTGTTTTCGGCCATATCTTTCTCGTTCTCTTGGGTGATTTACTTATAATACTGGAATAATTCCAAATTGTTTTAATTGCGTTGTAGATAATCGGTTGTCAAGATGGAACTATTCGAAGCTTGACATACTCCTTACCCATCGTTCATAGTTTCTTTCGCGATCGCTATGCCTTCAGAGAAATAATAACAGATGTGGTTATTCAGCATCTAGTGACAGAACAAAGAGGTAGGCTGACATTCTCCGTCTCAAGATATCCAGCTCGCATCAAATGTCGCGATGTGGTGGAAAAAATTGCTGTCTATAGGAATCGACTAGCAGTGAGTTGGATGTCTACGCTATGCATCACTAATTCAGATTCAACTCTCAGACCGTATCCTCATTTACGAATCGGCACTTGATGATGCTTTCGATATGCATTACCGAATACAAGAAAAGGTTATGCTAACGTTTGATTGTCAACTACTCCTATTAACGTCTCAACATATTGTCTACTTTCAAGGGCGCCGTATAACGTGCATAAACTCACAGGTAACGAATCAACATCATCTTTGATGAAGGCGGTACTTATGGAGCTATTTCACGTTAGGCTAGTTAAAAATTGAAGTGATTGTTGCTTTGCCGGAAATTATTCCACGATTGAATATTTTGTTGACAGCTGGATTGAAATGTAATTACCTCACTCGGTATACAATGCCTTCTGTGGAGCTGTTTTTCGATTAGCGGTGATGCCGAATAGAATAGTTTAAGAAATGCTTTATTTCCTCATGTAAAAACACATCGTTTCGCAAATATGTCATTTGTTGAAAAACAGGTGCCGTGGCAACTCATACGTTGTTAAAAAAGGGTACTTCAAAAATTTGTAAGGCATCTCATTTTGGTACCAGAGGTCTTCGTGTCGCAAATATTCGCAGTTGATGATGAGGTCGTGACACCAATGATCGAACATCTAACCGGGCTTATTTTGTATTATTATAAGCTTAAATACGTGACGTGACGCTCACCATCGTCATTGGTGTTCTTTTTTACCCCTTATCGCTCAGCACCGTGGTGAGTGATTGCACTCGAGTCATCCACAAAATAGAAAGAATAACACAATAACCTAATATTGACAGCAGCAATAAATATCGTGATTTTTGATTCGATTAATCTACTGAATTATTGGGATAGGTAGCACCGGTGTTTTACAGTTGGCTCTTACACGCTGAAGGCTATGGACAAGAGCATTTATCTAGCAGCTAAACTCCGGAAGTATTAAAGAAGGTGCAAAATGTATGAGTGTCCAGCGATCTCTCCATTATTAAAACGTAGGCCTGGCTGTCACAGTCTTTGTCGAGGCATCGCATATTTTAGTCTAAGACCAGTCTGCGTTCATTCAGGTCAGGCTTCACTGCATCTTTAGCCGTAGAGAGACTTAAGCCTAAGGTTCTCATTTGGTCGATTGCATCATGACTGGTGGATTTGCTTTCACACCTGCTACTCAATCTTATTTTACATCTTCCAATCTTCCTTAGAGTAAAGTTGTGCAAGAATGGCGCGCCGAGGCACCTGTACAGTGTACTTGCCAACAGGGTGGACTTGAAGAAGTTGAAGGCTTGATCATCGGAATGTCTAATGGACAGATAAGTTTTGTTGTTTTCTAAAGACACCAAAGGCTTGATTAAGCGTCCAATAAGTTGATTAACTAATAATATTGTATTTCTTATTGGTTGCGAATTGCCTTTCTCTCCAACTCCCACTTTTTAAGTCGATTTAATATTCAACTATCAATGCCACTGGTTAATAGCGTTAAATCCATTCATTTACGTATGTAGACGTGTTAGCATGGTGTTGGGTTTAAAGTCTGTATGCATTAGCGATGTAGCCAGGTAAGGTTATCGAGGCAGTAGTATAAGGACCGATTAGAAATAACCTTATGTATTTTTAAAAGGTCTATGATGGGAACATTAGAATTTTAGCTCGATAGATTTTGCTTATCGATATGGTTAAGGTTTTGGCCCTAAAAAGTTGTAAAAAAAGTCCAAGAATATGTACCGTATTCAAATGTTTCTTCGTTTATAGATTGCCAAAGTAACTCTGAGTAGCTTGTTCGCCGTACCTTTAATAAAAGTTGCGACTACGATCAGCTGCGTTGGCGTGAGCGCTGATTGTGACAAAATTGCTATTATTGATGGGAGCAGCACCCTTACAATACATTCATTAATAACAAATGAGATTCACATGCGCGTAAGGTTGTTCTCTTCCAGTGTTTTAGTAGAAAGGTTTGGCGCCGTCAAAACAAAAGTTCTTATTTCGGATTTCCCATATTTTAAACTACTGGTTGCATCATAGAAAGGAAACTTTTGTATTTAATGCAATTTCAGTTAGGGACAGGTGTTGTATTTGCTCTAAAGCATGGCATTACCTGAACTAAACCGATGACTACCAGTAATTTCAGTTTCTTGAAGGTAGTTCTTTAGGCATTTTCAGCTTATTTTCCTGACTTGTATTCTACATCATTTCCGGCACTTTAATAAGTCTTTTGTATAATATGTTTCTAAAGTTTGTTTTAGTAATGCTGCTGTTTAGCTTTCACGAAATATTACGTCACTGTACTTTTTCGAATGTTAAGTATTGTTCTGAAGAAATGTGATTCTGGGAGAAATCATGAGTAAGTATAAAAATCCAACAAAAGCTTAAAATTTTGCAATACCCCTTAAATGAAAAGTATCATCATCAGGCTATGATTAAGCTCCAATGGCTTCATTAAATCTTAAGATAAAACCGTTTATGTTCTTGTTTTTTTTTTCATGGAATGTGTGTAGTTGTCTAAGTGGTTAAATTAGCCAAACTCTTTTTAAAAGTAAAGTAGTGGTATTCCTATCCTCCTTAAGGAATCCGGCGCGCGAAGTTTTGCTTGGAATCAGATCGACAACAATCTTCTCTGCTACTGTAATAATGATACTTTGTACGTAGTAGTTGATGACTGCGTGTGCCATCAACAACCTATGGAAGTGAGTAAAACGTCCTTATTTTAAATGTCGAATCACCGAACAATTTGCACTCAAAGTGTTATTTTATAAAGTGCCCTTTTCGGTTTTTTTTTTCTTAGGGAATCGTGATAAGCTTCAATGGAGCCTCTGTCTACTGTATTTCTAAGCAGACCGTAAGATGCGTAGACGTACAATTAGCGCAGGCGATGTATTACTATTTGAGTGCAGGTCGCTTGCAGGAGGCTTATCGTATTGCCTGCCTAGGTGTCGCAGAGAGTGATTGGCGAGAGCTTGGCAAAGTTGCTCTCCTCGGCATGGAATTGCAGGTGTCAATATTTTATGGTCTATTTAAAATGAAGTCATTTAAGTATGTTTAGTGATGTATTGTCAATATTTTCTGCCGTAAGTTGCGCTGCGGACACATAACTTATTGTTTATTTGTTACAGTGCTTATCATTCATGAAACATTGCTTCTTTCGAACAAGTGCACCATATTTCATACTATTAAAAAAATAGAATGCTTTAACTACTTTATATTTCGATTTATAGAGTAACCTGATCTATCTAACCTTGATAATTACCAATTTATTCTAGATTGCACAGTCAGCATTTATTCAACTCGGCGATCATTTCCACTTGACCTACATTCAACAGTTAAACGTAAGTAATGCCATTTTTATTTGTGATTACTTCTTAACTTCATCCACGACGGTGCAATCCGTCCACGTATACCTTTGAAAACCACTTTTGAATCTTGAATAAACCCTGTATTTTTGCTGCTCTATGGTAAGGCATACCGACGCCGTGGTGCTATTCAAGAGCCTGCTTCAAAGTTGGCACTAACAGAGACACTTCTCATAGAAGCTGAACTGGCTTGTTACCAAGGCAACTACAATGAGGCCGTTAAAGCTTTCAAAAAGGCCAACCACCTAGACCGCGTATTGGGTCTCTACGTTGATCTGCGGCGATTCGCCGAGGCCAAGGAGGCATTGGTATTGGCGGCCGGTGACGGCAGAGCGCATTTTGATCAGAAGCCCCAAGATGCCACTAGTTTCCTGCTCACCAAACACGCCGAATGGGCACGTGCCACCAAGGATTACCGCGCTGCTGCCGTCATGTTCATTGAAGTTGGAGACTTTGCCGCAGCTGCTGAACTCGCAGTCGAACATGGATGGGTTGATGTGTATATCCACTAATCATGTTTCCTAACCACGTTCTGTCTCTCTGTGGACTTTTATTTCATTGTTTTCGTTTCCGGCATCTAATAATATTCGTTACAATAGTGTACCGTTTTTTAAAGGAGACTCTCATTAGTCATGCACCGTATTTGAGCGCTTTTGTTACGTAACAATCACTAAAAAATTTCATTTCAACATGTGCCATTGCAAAATTATATATTTTGATGCTTGTCTTCTCCATCTAGGTAAATTTTATTTCCCACATTTTTAAAGCCCATATTCGAGGCAGAAAACATTTTCATGAGGTTACTTCATATTCTCTAGACTTTTGGAAATTAGTCGGAAAATTAACAAGGGTGATCGAATAGGTCTGGACTTATGTGCAAAAAAGTTGGCGCACTTGGGAGAGTATGCTTTCGCAGCCGACTGCTATGCCCGAATGGGTGATATCGGTAGCCAAGTTGACATCCTTATCAAAGCGGGTAAATGGAATGAAGTGAGTTAGTTTCTGTTTTTTTTTGCCGTTTCTACAACATGGCTTGAATAGTGTTCCCGTAAATTGCCATGATCCTAAAATCTGCCTCTTTGCTACCTGTTACACACAAGGTCGTGGTTATTCTGCCGCTTTATCCTTTGATTCAGTTGCTGTCACTGGTTCAAGAATATCCCGAGTTCACGCGCAGAGTGTACCTTCCATACGCTCAATGGTTGGCCGAAAATGACGATTTTGAAGAAGCTCAAGCTGGTAATGCTTCGCCTTTACAAGATAATGCACCATTTATCCTCAACTTGTATTCCATTATATCGAGTAGTTTTAGCTTATTCTGCCGGTGTTTATTTAAAAACCAACTTCTCCCATCTCCTTTTTAATTCATATTGTCATTCAAGCCTCACACTCTAATAAAATTCATTATTCGAATATAGCATTTGCTCAAGCAGGACTCGCAAAAGAAGCAGTCAATTTTCTTGAAGAGTTGGCCAGTTGTGCTGTTTTTGAGTCGAGGTTCAACGATGCCAGTTGGTACTACTGGAAGCTGTCGAGGCAATGTGCCGAGGTGGCTAAAAAAGCAGACGGTACACTGGTCTGCCATTTATAGAATTAAGTTTATTCAAAGCGGCTTGGAACTATATACATTCTTGCATATTACCTCTTAGATATGCGAGCAAAGCGGAACAATTTGAAAAGATTCGAAGCATTTTCCAAACTCGCCGACTTGTACTATGTGTACAATAACATTCATCAATACATGGTAAGAATTGTCTTATTCTGTCGCGGCTGAATCATAATGAAAGTGAGCTAGTAATGGATGACTCAAAAAAGTCTGCGTTTGTTATCCTTTTTTTTGGCAGAATCTATTTAAAACAATCCCACTTCACCCTAAAAAAGTCGAGGTGGTTAAATAAAGATGGTAACTGCATGTAGTTTAAAGGGTGTGTGGGATTAATGGATGTCTTACAAAGTGTGATCTTTGATCCTCAATTGTTACGACACCCTAACTTCTATCATCAAATAGCTAACAATTTACTTTTACTTATTGTGTCCCCAAGCAGCTCTTTTATCCTCGTTCAATACTATTTCTAGTTACCTTAACTTGATCACTCAAAAGTTACATCGTCACAAATTTATCTACCTTCTAAGTCCCTCTTTCATTCTAGAATGATCCCTTCGCGGCTCACATGCCCGAAGCCTACCTCAATATGGCTCGATATTTGCTAAATCGTATGGGAAAGGACGAAATCGAAGGGATATCTAAAGTGTATCCTTTTATAGATATAAGTCATTTCATTTAAGGGGAAGTGGCATTTAGTGTCGTTTAAATAGGTTACTAAGTTAATCTAATTCATACAAATCCATTGACCCACCAAAAGTAGTGAGCAGTATTACTTAGGTTCAATTTACTATTTTCCTTATCGTAAATGACATCATAGGAACATTTTATGTACTCTGGCGAAAAATAGCAGCACTCTTCATGCTTTTAAACTAGCAAGATGCGCTTTTGATCGCCTACAGACTCTGCGTATAAAGGAACCACTTCGAAGAATAGTGGAGCTGCAGAGCTTAGCTATCAGAGCTACACCTCTGCAGGACTCAGAAGTAAGTTTTCACACTTTTCAAACGTGCGGTACTTCTCGTCTATGCTAAATTTTACACTGAAATTTAGTGACCTTTTCTATCAATAGTTTCTATCATTTACTTCAAAAACTCATTCAGCATAATCTCTTATCACACGCTATTGTCATGTGATCTTCTTCAGGATATCACTATTGTTTGTTATCGATGCTCAAATACTACCTCAATGCTTCAAAATGACAACCGTTGCATCAACTGCAAAGCGCCCTTCATTTACTCATTTTTGTCTTTTGGTGGGTTGGAAGACTTTTATAGCGATGTTTGTTACCATCATGTCATACGACTTCAAATAATGTCCACTTCCATTAGACATTTTACCTCTCGTGGAATTTATACCAGACCCCGAGTTAACAGAGGAGGAGGTGGCTGAGTGCATCCGAATTGACTCGCCGGCTCGTCGTGAGGCTGTGCCTGAAGGCCTATCATGCGACGATAAGGCCCTGGACACTGAACGAGACGTGTTCGCTGAAAAACTTGTCAATTTCAACGTATGTGCAGTTGTGGTTGTATGTAAATAAAAGGGCTAAATTGGCCAAAATAAAGTACGTGTACCTTAAAAACCGTTTTATCGTTGCGTAAGGAATTTAAAAGGTGATTTTTCTGATTAACTTTTATTATGCTTACTGTGTTCACGTTTGAATTGCATTGAATTTATTCCTATTTCACTATATAGTTGGGTTCCGATAAATATCAGCCTGTCGTATTAGATGCAAAAACGATGAGAGCGATACCGTCTTCTGAGATTATCATCCTTGATCCTGGTTACCCAATGAGAAAACTATTTTTTAAGAATGTGCTACCGGAAGTTGGAGTCACTTGCTGCAAGTCCTGCAATAAGGTGAACCACCTATTTAACATTTTCTTGAGCCTATGCATCTACAAATATACAGCCAGTATCAAATAAAAAGGTAATAAGAGAGTCAAACTATGGGTAGGATATTGATGCGCGTATAGTGGAATCGCCCAGTTATTTCAAGTCAATGATTTTTCTGAATGTGCAGGGTCTTATACAAATTTGTCCCACACCTCATCTTTCACCGCGTAGTCTTCATTGTAATGCTCTAAGAATTCACACTACTCATCACTAACACTGTGTCTCAAATGCGTTTGTTATTTGTAATCCAGTCAAATTTATTTGACTTAACAGGTGAGATTGTTCATTGTAGCTTTTCCAGAAAGAGGACTATCAGGTTCTTCTCCTTCAAAAGCACCAGTGCCCTTTCTGCAGATGCGGTGCCGATGGTTAGACACTGACAGTTCCAATTGTATTTATTCTGTGAATGTCCAAGGAGTTATTTTCTGATGCCCAACTTTTACCAAACTAAATAAAAGAGTTTGCTAAGAGTTTTTGCTATCGGGATTATGTGCATTCGGAGACCAGTGTAGCAAATAATGCAGGCGGATTGACGGGCTGGAATGCTCGTAGTTGGGCAGTGACAGAGTGCTTGCTTTGGGGAGGGACGGATGTGGTGGGTTTTATGGGTTTCTGGGATTTTTATTGATATACTTTGACCCCTTGTTTAGTTCTACGTTTGGTTACGCTGCTTCAGAGGGTCCGCCATTGCACTTCCGATTGCCGACATGGCCTCCGAGCCATGCCGACAGCCTCTACTCTTCTGAACATCAGCAATATATTTTCCACTATGCTTCCATAACTCCTTTTGACTTCAAGGAAGACTCTAGGTGCTACATTCGGTAGTTTTGGAACCCCACGTCAATGTTAGCTAAAAAGAAACAAGGAGGACTGGAGGTTTGTGTACAAAAAAGTTAGGAGTGGGTGATGTGGAATTACTCCTGGCCACCAATTTTTTGCGTTAAACGACTCCTGATTTCACATTTGATTCAATATATAAGGTGATTTAATGATTTGTTCCAGCACTGGTACGAAGGAAGAAACAGATCGATTCAAGGATGCTTTAGTATTTGAGACATGACTCATGATAACCAACCAACCTTTCTTTATCTTTATCAGGAAATCATCATACGACTATTTTGGCTGACTCTGACCCTTATTGCGTGACTTAAAATATTTATTAAATTTGGTGCTGGTAAAGTTTAGCCCGGAACACCGGATTACGACCTTGAAAACTGCTAATATTTTACTGGTCGATTATTTCGAACAGCTATTGGTCAGTTTACGTGTGAATTTTAAGTGGGCTTGCCACTGTTATACTTGTGATTAGTGATTAGTCCGTGTGCACTTGTAACGATTTCTGTGGATGAGTGGCTCTCCTTGCAGTCCAGAATTTACTAGGTTGTGTTCGTAAGTGTTCTATTATATAAATTAGTACTTTCCATAATACTGTCAGCGTGTGAATCGGGTTATGCCTTTACACTTCTATAGCTTTCATCTCCACTTCATTATCCCTAACATTGGATGAATTAGGCATATTGGTGGGCCAACAACTACTATTCCTGTGAAATGTTGCTTTTTGACGCTGTTTTTCTGATTGCGGTATCTACGTTGGTCTTTTATTGGCTGCGACTGCGTTGGTACACTACCCATCTTCGCTGTCCCGTCTTCAAATTCAATATATTCTTTGGAACAGAGAGTGGAACTGCGAAACGATGCGCCTATCGCCTTGAAAGCATTCTTTCTCACTCTTCGAGTGCCGATATATCCGTGAATGATTTGACAAACTTCCGCAGGGTGTGTTTAAATAGACCTTTTTACTTTTGTAATGTCTGTAGGATTTGCTCTGTGATGGGAAACTCGGCTTAAATATTTTCATCGTGGCCACTTATGGAGATGGTGAACCGCCGGATAGTGCAATAGGTTTTAGCAATTGGCTTCACACGCTGCGTGAACCTCTTTCAAATTTAAATTATTCAGTATGTATTGAATCCTACTTGTTTCTGTTGATCATGAGCAGTCATTTACTAAGGCATTTTCTGAAAATTACTTTGTCGATCTCCATAAATCTCCTGACTGCGCCCAATTTGCCCATTTTTATGCAATTTTGCTCGTTAAGATATGAGTGAAATCTATGCGTACAAATCTTCCTGTAATCGCTTTCCAAATAAATATTCCACTTATTTCCACTCTATTCGCCGTCAAACTTTTTTCGAGGTATTCGGTTTAGGTGATTCCGGTTATCTCCAATTCAATGAATTCGCCAAACGAATAGATCGTCGTTTGGCTCTCTTGGGTGGTTCCCGCAAAATCCCGCTTTACCTTGGTGACGCAGCGCGCAATTTGGAGGCTGATTTTCGTTCCTGGCAAATATCTCTTTGTCAATTGTATAATCTGACCGAGTGCCATGTTGATGCGTCCATGAATATCAGTGAAAAATTTACGTTTACCCATCTTCCTTCCGCTGACGTTGAAAAGCTTGGAGGGTCATTTACTGGGGAGCCTAAACATCGTCTTTCATTTCGCTTTAATGCGCCGTAAGTGCTATAATTGACCACAGTGTCGGAGTTTTTGTTGAGAAATACACTGGACTATTATCGTCCTAATCCATCTGTAGTAAATATCTGAAAATGAGGATATTTTTCTTTGTAGGCCTTTTTCGCCGGAGAACCCATTCTTAGCTGCCATTATTACCAACACGGAGCTGTTAAATTGTACTGATCGGTCATGCCGTCTCTTAGAGCTAAATCTTAGTAATTCAAGTATCAAGTAAGTCGAATTGTAAGTCCAACACCTTGTCTGCCTACATTCTTCTGATACCATGTTGATTTTACACTCAACAGATATGCTCCCGGTGATCGTTTGGCTGTTCTTCCGCAGAATTCGAAGGATCTCGTTCGAAGGCTGTGTGCTCTTTTACACGTTAATTCCGAGCAGCATATTTATGCAACAAGTCTTGCAGGTCAGCCGTTTTGATCCATTTGTCCTACTAGTCTTTTATTATCATCTAAGTAGTGAATGACTGACCATTTTTACAGATACTCCATAGTACTTTATCAGTGTTATACTTTGCTAGACCAATAAATGATGCAATTTTTCAATTTCTTTGGTTAGGTTCGACTAGAAACTGCTTCAACTGTTTCCCCACACCATGCACATTTAGGACAGCATTCACCCACTACTTGGATCTGACCACTCCACCTCAGTTCGATCTCATTGAGTGTTTGGCTCAATGTACGAAATTTAAAGGCGAGCGAGCATTCCTTCAAAATCTCATTGCTGCACGGGCAGGAGATGTGAGTCTGCTTTCGCTTTACCATTGGGAGTTGAAGCATCCACGTTCAACTGCTCGGCTTAGTGCCGTTAATTGAAGAAACTGCATCAAAAGTCAATATTTTCTTTTGTTAATAATTCCTGTCTTTCAACAGAATATTTGGCTTCAAGTGTGAAATTAGGGCTGATCTAATTTCGTTTATGTAGACTGGAGAAGAGGCTTACGAAAAGTGGATTTTGGCAGCGAGACGGAATGTCGTTGAGGTGTTGGAGGACCTGCCCTCCTGCAGACCGTCGGCTGACCTCCTCTGTCGAATGCTGCCACGTCTTCAACCGCGTTTTTATAGTGTGGCCTCTTCCTCCCGATATCAACCTGACCGAGTGCGCCTTATTGTCAAGGTCTTGGAGTACACATCCCTCAGTGGTACTTTTCATTCATCTTCATAAAATATATTCCTAATTCATTTTTTTAAGAACAGCATTCGTGACAGTTGATAAACAAAGGCATGTCAGTTGCATTTCATATGGTAATAGTTTTGATATGGAACTGAAAATTGATTCACAATTACATAGTCATAGGTGATCGAGGCCCATGTTTCTCTTTCAGGACGATTGCACAAGGGAGTTGCTAGTGATTTTCTTTCCAGTATGCACTCGGGTGATTGTGTGGCAGTCTTTTTGCGAAGATCGGAGTTCCGATTGCCTCGAAATCCGTCAACTCCAATCGTGATGGTCGCGGCCGGCACGGGTGTTGCTCCCTTTCTTGGCTTCATTCAAGAAAGAACATTTATCAAGTCTAAAGGTTCATTTCACTAGTCTTATCTCCATATTGCCATTCTTGATGAAATATGACCGGATAATAGAAAAAAACATACTTATTGTAGGTGGAAGGTTGGGTGAAGCTATGCTATTCTATGGCTGCCGCAGTCGCAACCAGGACCGCATTCTCCCAAACGAGCTAGATGATGCGCTTAACAGCGGCGTGCTTTCTTGCCTTCAGTTTGCCTACTCACGGGAGCAGGCGCAAAAAGTTTATGTGCAGCATCTTTTGCGTGACTATGCTGAAACCATATGGTCTCTTCTTAAAGATAAAAGCGGTCATTTTTATGTTTGTGGGTATGTACTCGCATTACATCAGTAGCCTGTTCATTGTTGGTTGAGTTACCCATTTTGACATCACTAGACCACTCTCCTCTTGCAAATTTTGTACGCTTGTATCGTGTGCCTGACTTTCTAACATTGTTTGCAGTGATTCTAGGGGCATGGCTCAAGATGTAAGGCACACTTTGCTTGGAATAATCCAACAACAGGGCTCTCTAACGTCAACCGAGGCTGAAGAATTTTTCCAAGAATTGAAATCGGCCAGGCGTTGCATGTTCGATGTATGGACTTAAACATGCAAATGTAAAAGTGCTTGTTTAATAAAAGTCTAGTAGCGTCAATGTTTTTTTTTAAATTTTATATGTAGAATATAAAAACCACATTTCATTGTAAAATACCTCAGAGTGAACAAAGAGGACAGTCGTTTTTATTTAAAAGGTCCTTTGGTTTGAGTTTGTGTGTTCCAGCGTCGTCGTTTAACACGGATGTATGCATAGATTCTTGGGATAGCCGCTTTGAGTTTGACCTAAGCGTTGTAATATTCGAGCTATGGCATAACGTTTTCATCTGAACTTTTGGAAGCATATTGTAGTCGAGGCAGTATTCTATCAGCGTTAAGGAAGACGATCACTGTGATCTGTCTCAATTTTGCGAAGGATGATTCTGCGACAAGAATTCTGACCCTCGTGGTGCGACGCCTCTTGTGCGCGGTTACATACGTTTTGGTCTACTTTGTAATGTTTGCCCGATTTGACATTGACGTATTGCCTTTCAATAAAGTGTCTACATCAGGGTAAGTATGGTGGTTGATGGCGAATGTTTATGGAGGACCGGACCTGTAACAATGATTTAAGAGTTTCACCTACAAAACTGTACGTGCCCAATGAATAAAAGTAACCAAAAATGTCCAGGTGGTAGTAGAGATTACACAAACAATTGAATTGATATCCCTGTTTCTTTTCAACCATTGAAAAGCACTAAAAGTATCTCATTGTATCAATAATGGGTTAAAGACGAAATAGTGGGTGAGGACTGTTACTTCGTGAGGTACAAATTTGCTGCTAGACTGAGTGCAAATGATGATTTTGCCCGTTGAGATAGATTTCATGCAATGTTACACTCATTTTCCCGGAGAGAAATTAACGTTTTTAATAGTAAGACAAGGCGTTACCATCAGCATGGCCGGTGATTGGAGGATATAATAAATACCTGGTGTGAAATGGCGTTACACCAGTGCTATCAACATCATCAGTATTTGCTTTTTCCAATTTTTCCTATCATTGTCCTTATTGGCACAGATGAGCATGTTTAGATTATTTTGGAGAGCTAAACTGGGTCACCAAAGCTACCAGCTAGACATGATCATTCGTAATTGCTATGCCAAGTCTTCAAGCGAGCCCATCAGGAAAAAAAACACGAATTTCAATGCCTCATTAGTATTATGGTTTTATGTCAAGTTGCTTGTACATTTGAGATAATTTTGACGGTTGTATTTTAATCCTTTGGTTCAATTATAAGATCATTGATCAAAGCCTGCATCGTTTTAAAAACTGGCATCTAAACAAGCATCCATCACTTCTGTTTTGGAATTGCTCAGCGATTTGAGGTCTATTTTAAATCCACCCTACATAGATGGCACATTATTTTGCTTTGATGAATACTAATACTTTATTCAATGAGGAAGTTCGCAAAACATTCCAGGTAACTAGTTTTTAACCTACTTTTATAGTTTTTGCATAATTTGTGGACTTACTCCGCGGCTGATAAGGTCAAAAATGTTTTCTTTCACGTAGTCTTCCCACCCCCGTTTTCGGGAGGCCTATTGGGAAAAAGCCTAAACTGAGTTAAGGTTGCACTAACTGGTTTTCAGCTTTTTGGTGCCTTATTTTGCTCACAACCAGTCCATTAAATGGCCTCTGTTTTACGCGTCGGTAATATTATGCATCTGACTCTGCAGTCAAGTTTATTTGAACGTTTCGTGATTTTCAAATGAGGTGAAGTGTAGGAAACTGTCTGATCTACAGAAAGTTCGTTTACTAATTTACACGTCACTCTTGATCTTCTAAATGTCAGAAAAGTAACCCAAATCACCACATTTGCTTATTTTGCTAATATGATCCAATGCGATTTGTGACATCTTTTCTCGATTTCGATTTATAGCGCGATGATGGTAAGTCACACTTGTCCAAGTGCACCTGTGTTGCTTTTAGACATTGTTCGATTTAAAAATATTATTCTTACCCATCGCGGTTAAAAGCAAAAATTGAAGGCGTTGCCACCCTCCCCACAATTTATTTTTTTCTCGTGCATTTTATAGGATTTGCATAAGTTTTCGACTACTTTGCTGTTCAAACACAGGTCACAAGCATCAGTACGTCTTGAAGAACGCATCCACTTAGTGAGAAAGGATTACTCACAAGTGCGACTGCACTGCCGTATATCCTGACCACTTCTTCACCTACACCCACACAAATAACTATCATTCACGTGCCCTTTCAAAGCGAAGCAGCAAAACAAAAATAGTATGGTAGATTGACGTTTTAGTGCCATTTTAAACCACGGTCAAAAGGTGAAAGAAGGTGTGGAAAAAGCTCCTCAAAAAAGCCGCCAATTTTCTTGCGTACGCGATATGACCACAGATTACAAAACTTAAGGTACCTTATCTAGGTCGTATTGATCAAGTGTGGATGCAAATGTGGACGTAAAAAAAAGGTTAAAATTGTGAGGGTATCTATAGCACAAACGTGCTTGATTACACTGCAAGTCGGTGTTAAAATGTGATAAATGGTCACCGAATTGCACTTTCGACACTCTATTATTAAAAGATAAATTGTTCCTCAATTTTACCGGGGCGACTCTATTGGGCTGTGACAAGTTCATTCCAAACAAGCTAGCTGAATATAATTCCACTACCATTGGAGCCCAAATGTACTTAGTATGGATTCAACCTAGTTACCTGTTTTGGTTATTAACGTCATTAGTTTTGCACCTATGAAAAATGTACTTGATGCCGATGGTAAGAGACATTTAGTATCCACTTGTTGCAACAATTATTTAGTAGAAAATACGTTTACCTCCATTTTTTATGCTTCTTTCAAGCTATATAGAAAAACAGTATCAGATGGCTCTAGTATTGCCCAATCCAAAGACGGATGGAAGATTTGTTGCTGGACAACACCGACATCCGGGGGATTTTACCTGTGCCAAGTCCATCTAGTGCGGTCCACTTTCACGGATTCATAAAGTGTTCGAAGTATACCTGACTTTCGAAAGGATTGTTGCTGTTATTTTTTAGCGGGAACGCTACTGTCAGACTACCAACACTCAAACCCCTCTCAGAAACAAAGGATAAGAGGTTTCTGAATGCAGTCCTCTGCTGATATTCTAACCTCGAATACTTCCCATTCTGTGCTACCTATTAAGTATTTGATTTTAATAATTAAAATAATTTATTAATAGATATTTTGCCACTTTAATGCACTTTGACAAAGTACTTCATCAGCCTCATACTAAGCCAATGTGAATTCTGAAGTGGGGGCTAAGAAACATAGACATTGTAACAACCATTCAAAATTCCTCCCTTGTGCTTGTGATGTCTTGGTTTAGTCAACTCAGGTAAACATATGCTAGTCTGAGCATCTGTTATCATATCCCCAATCAAGCAAATTTCTTAGCACCAGTCTCTACGAGGTTTTATAATTCTGTTGATAATGTCTCAACACTGTTATAAATAGAATTATTACACTCCAGTTAGTGGGAGTGGTATTAACAGATTGTTGCTTTTAAGGCAATTAGAAGCGAACAGAGAGACAGGAAAGAAGATCACGTGAGTCTTGCCTATAGCAGCAAGAAGACCACAAAATTCGAAGATTGTGATTGGCCTCTTACATTTTGCTAATATCTCACAGCTGTTCATAAACAGCTTTTATTGGAGTTATTTGAAATGAGCCTCTTAGAGCTTGCCAATACCCTATGCTGAACACATTTAGTAGAAACAGACGCCTAAAAATTAAAGTCGACACATTTAGGTTGTTTCCCGGAGTCCCGTCTTTCTATTTCCCTTGCCATCTCAGTACTACCCAGCTAACTTTCTTGATTAGATTGATGTTGTAGGGGTCAATACGATGATTCCCGACTTGCAAACAATTTACACTTTTTGCCGTAAAAATAAGCGATTATATCATTAGTTGTCCTAAACTGTTCATTTCTGATCTGTATCCACTACTGACCATAGCGCATTCTTAGCGTTGAGGTCATGGGAAAATTTGGGATCGTTTTGAGAGTTCTTATCGAACTTAGTACTGATGTAACAAAGTATGCAGTCAAAGAATGCTGCTAGACTAGGTAATAAATCTACCGGTTTTGTCTGCGTTGGAAGAAAACGGCTTCGATAAAAACTTTTGGAAAAGTGATATTAGGTCCTTTATGTATGGTGCTTGCAAACGAATTTAAAACGCATCAAGTAGAACTAATCTCTGAAAAGGTTAATAAAAATAGTTTTAAAGCAAAATAGTCAAAATTAAGAAATGATAGAACCATGTTTGAACAGTTGTTTTTGCAATGCAGAGGATCCTGTCAATCAAATTGACTACATTTTAAGATTTATGTTGATGGGTATTAGAAGTTAAGTTCTTTTAATGTAGACCTTTTACTCTTATATTTTCACAATCATAAAGCATAAATAACATTGAGACCCTATGAGCATTTTTTGTCAATTTGCCCTTAATATTTCAATTATTTGAGAGCCGTATTATTGTTAATGACGTTCAGTTTAGGCGGGAAATTATTACGCGGTGTGCAGTCCAGGTCACTTAGAGAACGTTAGTGGTTGTGCCCCACTCACATAGCTATGCCAAACCCCTCTTTTGTTTTTTGATGCCTTTGTTAAAGATTATACATCGTTGTGATATATTTGCACACGAGGAAACTTGTGATTCCTATCGTACCCGTTCATTTGTTCCTAAGCGGAGATATTAAAGGTTGTCAATCCTTACACGTTTAACTGGCAGCTGCACAACTTTTCCAGATTTCTTATTAAATAAACATTTTGCATAATTAATATTCCAAACTTAGCAATATAGGTTGAGAACCTTGCAGGTCTGAAGTGGTTTTAAACGTAACCCGGCAAATCGATGTCTATGTCCCTGCTAATTGTTGCGAACAAGAATGTTCGACAAGGATTGCATTTCCTTAAACCTAAACGCTAGTCACTTAAGCACATCACAATGGTTGATAGTTACCGGGGAAGAATTGATTGTTGTTGTGGAACCACGCCACCAGAAAACATTAAAACCATTTCAGCTGAAGTGGTCAAGTCTTAAGATGGGGTGGGCAGCCAAATATATTCTTGCCTTAGTGAAGTTGTTTCAGAGGATACGAGTCCCGCCACCATCTAAGTATTTTTCAATTCCACAGAAAGCTTAAATGAACTTCCTAACTTCCTCCTGCAGTGATCAAAGGCACTATTTTTGAACTGATGGCTGTTGCGAAGCCTAGCTTTACAAAAAGATAGCGTCCAAAAATACACAATGCTTTCAGTTCCTGCACGAAGAATCGAAGCTCTGTTTTGTGTAAAAGCAAGACACCAGCGTGTTCAACTTCCTTCATAATTCAATAGTACAAGAAGATGGATGATGAGTCATGCGTATATACAGATATAATAATTTTCTTTTAAAGGTTCCATACACTAGTCACTAATAACTGTCAGATCGTCATAAAATAGAAAGGAGTTTTCTTCTGAAACTCGAAATTATGCAATGGATATCTCCCAAAAACTGATAAGTTGCATAAATTATCCAATACGGATTTAAAAAAACCGTACAAGAAGTTAGTAACAAAAGTACTGAGACGGGACGTCTTACTGACAAAATTTTTTGAAAAAAGTAAGTACGATCGGGAGTAAAGACTCAAATAAATGAAATTTCTGTCATTAAAACCTTGTCAAATTGCAATAGGCAGTGCAATCCTCGCGGCGACCAAATAATCACTTAAGAAGAGAATGAATGTGCAATATTTTTGCTCAAGTTAGTTGATTTTATGCAGTCTCCGTATGTAAAGGTCAAGTCAACTGATTGCTTTCATATGCTATGATGCAAAAAAAATTTCGTCGTAATTGCAAATTACTGGGTTTCTGCCGGCGTGAGCAATTAAGCTAATTCTTTAATGCTTCCAACTTAAAACCAAATGTTAATAATGCCAAGGAACCCTTTATTTCCTACCTACTTTTAGTGTATTCACGCCTACTTGTTAGGATTACTGAAGATAACGGTTATTTCGTGCGCTAATATAACTTACTGGCCCGACCAAATGTTACCTTGATACGTTGCTGCAAGTCCTGTGGTTTTAAGTAAGCAATGATGCTCCACTTCTAACATAAACACGTGCTCTTCGTTTACAAACTGTGTATTGTGTGATCTTGGCGACAAAAGAAATTTACGCTATTGTCCTATAAGTGACTTATAGATAATTTGACCCTGATAAAGTAACAGTCGGAGTCTTCTAATGTCTCTGTGCTAACTCAGGTAAAGCTGAGAACCTAATCAGTGGACTTATATTCATTTAGTCTTTCTTACTAATTCTGAAAATCTCCAGGGTTCCTAGAACTATATATATGTATATATGTTCTAATGAGAGAGTATCCAATTTGAGAATCGACTAAGAAGCAATATCCTCAAGGCCAATCATGTGATGCTATGAAAAAGTTTAAAGGTGGCAATTTTTACATGGTTGCATCTTAGTGTTTACAGAATTTTAACGCTGCTATTTATAGAAAAATTAGATTCGACAAATGCAAAATATGTCAGAAATATAAAAGCGGTAAACAAGAAGAGAGTCCATTAATGAACTTGCACATTACAGGCGAATGGCCAAAGGCAAATAATAAATGCCCGCTATTCCCCTAATTATGGCCAACTAAAGGCAGCCTGGTTCCTTCTTATAGGCTAAAAGGACCATGTTTGATGGTTTGAAACTGCTCCTACTTTTCATTGATACATTGCTGTTTCATGTGGTCGATGGTTTATATCTTAAAGGGGATTGTGCCTGTGTGAACGAGTCTTCCAGTCTGAAAACAACTCTTCCATGTCATCTGAATCATAAGATACTTTAAAGCTCACTTTTGTCGTGTTTGTTTTATAAAGTACCAAGTGACTGTCTGAAACTGTATAAACAGAACCGTTTATTCATGTATCAATTCATTCTGCTCTTCTTACAGATCTGCGGCATAGTAATTTAAAATAAGTTTTTTAAAAGACAAGCCTTGGAACTATCGTTAAACCACCCAATAATGTTGAGTCTGATGTTTACTGTGCTTGGCAGTCAACAATGCACAGTCAACGCATTGCACACCAACGACGTGGGTAGTAGACTTCAAGCACAGGGCAAAATTCATATCAAAGTCCAGTAGCTGGCGTATTTGATCTGTAATAGCATTGCAACCAATTTTGCGCTTTTGGTCAGCTTTTTAAGTTTTCAATAATGTGTTTTAGATCTATTTACTATTTGTTTTCTTCTATACCTTTCCAATTGGCATCATGTCCATAAATTTCACTCCAGGAGCATAAACACGATTGCTATTTACTGGGATTCATGAGGCAATGCATTGAAAATGTGAAAACAACCGATAAAACAACTTCAAAGTATTCTAGTAAAAATAAAACGAATTAAGTCTTTGAGTCTTCGTGTTTAAACTGGAATGATTTGATAGTATGATGTGTAGAAACGGGATGACAACCAACCTGAGACATAAATGATGGTGACATCTCCATCGCGGGAAGAACGGCCTCGAAAATCTTGGTGAGACCAAAATCCGAGTAAATCGGTTTTGTACAAATACTCTGTAGAATGAAACCTGTAAGACAAATATGACAACACAAGTATAATATCACCTTGAGTCAATGAATTATGCAAAGCTGTCACGTCAGTAATAACAACCTTGATACTAACAATTATTATAAATCCTTAGTTGACTTTTACCTTGAATAATTAGTAAGTTTTAACTTTTAAGCCATTAATTTTGCTGGCCATTTATTTGCTGAGCTATAACTGCTTTTTATTTATCATCTTGTATATTTACTCCTTCATTTATGCACGTATTTAGAGTTTCAATTTAGGGCAGTATTTAGTCTATTTTCATACCTGGAGAAGCAGAATAAAGAAGATAGGATCCTCAGGTATTTAAATAGCGGAGATCCGGAGGCAAGAGGTGAACACCTTTGA